AATTGAAGGAGAAGGGCCCCACCCTCTGGTCTCTGGGGAGGGCTTGGGTGGGCCCTGAGCTTGGATGGGCCCCCTGCTGTAATTTGCACAATGACCTGTCATAAAGAGGTGAGAAGTTTATTTTTCCTCTAGATAAACCAGTTCGTTAACAGATGGTCACCCCCATTACAGGATGAGTGTAGGGTGAACCCCAGAGGTGCCGGCAAATCCTCTTACATGAGGACTGGTTATCATCTGTCTTGAGAAGCCAGATGTAAGGGCGGTGTCTGCTCAGCGGTAGAAAAGGTGAGATTTCTGCTGCCTCTGTCAGCTCCCGGTGGATTGCCCGCAGCGCCCGTCGCTGTGGTTACGGTGCTCATTCAATCATGAAAGTGCTCTTTCTCTTCCACCTTTGTGAGAGGTTTGCTGAGGTGGGAGCAGATTCTGTTGTTAAATTTCCCCGATGATACCTTCCCTACAGGTAATGACAACAGAAGATGGGTTGTTATGGTGTCAGCGAGATAACCAGAGAGCACAGCCAAATTGTAAAGGAGCGCTTTATTCTTGCCAGCAGGCTGCGGGGGGCGTAGTCTCCCCTCAGATCAGCAGCCACTCTTCTTGCTCGTCCGATTTTAAAGACAAAAGCCCCATCCTCCTTTTGACCCCCACCCTCTCAGAGGACCAGTACAAAAGTCAATCACAGAAGTCAAAATTAGCATTATTCACCGGGCTCAAGAATACCTGCAAATGCCTCCCAACACGTGGGGCAACTATAATCTTAGGCAAAATCCCTTTACTTCTAGGGGTAATTAACCTATTATTGGAAAAATATCAAGGAAGGTCCGTTGATGATAAAAATGGGGTTATTTAGTCCCGTTAGCCATGATGCCTACGTAAGAATGGAGTCTAATAGCCTTAACCTCGGGGCCCAGGTCCGGTACCTTCACAGGGCCCTATAGTTCTAGAAGACTCGTCCACACATTGTTTCATTTGGTTCTCACCCAATTGAGGGGCATTAGCATACTATTAAATTAGGGGCACAATTGCTCCCATTCTGTAGATTGGGAAACAGGTGCAGAAAGGTGCAGTGTGGCTCTGGGAGGCTCCCTGCATTTCTGAGAAGCTCCCTCCCCATGAGCCCTCGCCACAGCCCAGGAAGCACCCCAGGAAGCACAGTTTGGGGTACAGAGAGCAGCCTGGACTGGGTGGTGTGGAAGGAAAAGGGCCGCGTGCTAACCTGACCACTCAGGGGAGGCCTGCGTGGCGACCTTGCAACTCAGACCTACAGTCACCACAAAGGATGGTCTGAAATGAAAACTTTCTAACTAAAAGCAGCTTATGGTAGGAAGGCGTGTCCCAGGCTAGAATCTTCCCTGAGGAACGTCAGTCTTTACCTTAACTGAGCCTGCTGTTTTTCTGCAGCTACTATAACACAATTGTGGAATGCCAGAGTAATTTCCTTTTTCCGGACCAGAGCTGAGACCACAGATCCCCTCATTGTTATTGTAATCATGCTAATTGCTGACTGTTAACTCTCCGGTACACACCTATGTGTCTATCATTTTACTTTTTATCCAATCCCAGAGGTTTCCACTTTGCTTCCTCCCGCCTCCCTAATCTATCACCAATGGATTTCATGTAACACATGTGCGTCATCCCCTTTGACTCTGATGTGTAAAATAAGGTGCAAAATTGCTGTTCTGGAGCATTTTCACAATCTGTTGAGATTTTGCTTCCAGGCGATTGTCGTCAGTGTGGCTCAAATAAACTCACAAAAATTCTCTCTAGGTTTGGATAGTTCTTACGTTGACAGTGGGAAGGGAGACCGGATTACTTACAGAATTTTCCAAATCCAACATTTTGACACTTTATAACGCTCTTCTCGGGCTCTTTGTCCCCACCATCCATCGCGGCCAGTGTTCCCTGGAAATAATGGCCCGCTGTCCCCCTAGAGGTCAAGGCACCTCCCCTCCCTATCTCCAGCATCATCCCCAAGAATTGGCGACAAACAGCAGTCACAGGCCCATGCTGTCCTCGTCCAGAACCCCAGTTTCCACATGCCCCGAGGCCAGGACACCTGGTGGAGGTCTCACTGCGGTCCAGCTCCCCCAGGACAGCCCTTGGATGTGTGTTTCTGGTACCTGGGCCTCTTCCTGTGCTGACCGATTGCACCCTGAGGCCAGGCAAAGGGAGAGCGCATGGCCCTCGTCGCTCCACCTGACCGCGGTCATTGCCAGGGCTGCGTGTGGAGCCGTTTCCAGGAAGGAGGCTGTGAGCAGTGAGCAAGGCCACACGTGCTGTCCCTGCCCCGCCACGGCCACGCACTTCTGCCCCTCGGGACCCGATCCCCACATCCCAGGACAGCACTGCGGGCATACACACTGTGGCTGACAGGGTAACGACAGTGATTTTGTAGTGGAGCCCGAGGTAGGAAGACCTCCTCCTTCTGCAGGCAGAGAAAGCAGGCAGAGCTGGGCTCGGGTAGCAGGGCAGAGCTCAGGTCCACGGAGACACTGGTCCCAGGGGCAGGGAGCGTGCATATCCGTGTGCTTGTGCATGCATGTGAGCATGCCAGGGTGTGTACATCTGTGCCTACACATGCACACGTGAGCACGTGAGTGTGCAAGTATGCACATGCATGTGTGAGTGTCCAAGCAGGTGTGTCTGCATGTACACGCCTACACGTGAAAGTGAGGGTGTGAGTGTACAAGTATGTGTGAGTGTCCGCACATATACGTGCACACGTCAGTGTGAGAGAGTATGGATGTGCATGAGTGTGCATATCTGAGAGTGAGGGTGTTTGAGTGTGCACGCATGTGTGTGAGCACACATGAGTGTGGACATGCATGGATGTGCCTGTATCATGCATGCATATAGAGTGTGAGTGTAAATGTGTCTGTGTGCATGCGTGAGTGTGAGTGTGAGATGTCCTGGAGGGACATCTGTGTCCCTGCTGGATTACAGGGCGTGGGTATGTTCTCTTCACAGTGTTTACATGAAAAAGGCAGATGTGGAAAATCCCGACAGTCATCATGCAGAATAATGTGCCACCCTAATAACTGGAGAAAGAGACCCCACTGGGGATGAAATTAAACACACACGTCTTCTCGTGCCTGTATGAAAGGGAGGCTGAGGGACGACCAAGCTAGAAACAGACTGTCAAGTTTGAGGGTTTTAAAAAATTACATGAGTTTAATATAAAGAGAAAACGTGTATGGTGACATCTGATGGAGAATCCCAAATTGGCATGAAGTGCCCAGCTGACCTTGCTGCTCTCCTGGGGGCTGTGGCTGGATGCCACGCTGGTTGGCACTGCGACCAGAGGGGGGAGTGGAGCGTGAAGGACTCGGCCTTTGGGGTTGAATCTCCCACACACCAGCTGGTGGCCTCCCTGACCCTTGGTTTCTTTTTCTGTGCAGTGGGGATAAGGGTGGTCCTGAAGATAAGAGAAAATGGTGCACAGCAGCAATTTCCAGTTTAGAATGTATCATTGCCCTTGATTTCACCTTCATATTTTATAGAAATGGTCACACATTCTAGAAGCAAAAAGTTCTAACAGGTGACATAATAGAATATCATAATGGAGATTCATCTCACGTTTTAAACATTCAGATTTACCTAAATTATAATATACTTTCTCCTAATTCTGTGAGTGCTAATTAAATTATGTTTTCTCGGGTATTATATTACAGCTTTAAAATGCATTCTTTTCTTGTTGAAACCTTTACTTGACCTCCGTCCAGGACAGTCGTGGAGTTGATCCTGCGCTCTCGGTTTTCCGTGAAGGGTGCGTCTTCAGAAGACTTGCCCTGGGCCCCTCGACTGAGCTCCTGTTTTTGGTATTCTCCTCTTTGCGTGTGTCCTCCAGCCGTTCACACGTGACCGCAGCAGCTGATGGTCTCACAGGTTAATCTACCGAGAATAAAGGACGTGGCAGCGGATTCAGGCGCTGGGCTGGAGGCTTTCTCCTGGAAGGACCGGTCAGTATTTCAAACACAGCGGACTTCGACTCCGAACCATCAGCCAAGATGGGTCTTTGTTGCCCTATTTGGAAACTTTCTCAGCAGAACTAATGAGATCTTCATCCAATGTTAAAAATTGTGCCTCGTTTTTCAATACCAAGCCCTGAAAGAGAACCCAATGGGGGACCCAGAAGACAGCATCCACCAGACAGGATTTCATAGGAAACTTTAAACTCCATTTCACGCACAACATGACAGCGACTGAACTAAAACGGAAACCAGCCATCCTCTGTCACCCCTCGCTCTGTTTTCTTTGAGTCCTGCGGCCCTTTTGGGATCGTGCCCACTGGTATTCGGTCATACAGAGTTGTGGTCTTTATGGGGACAGAGCTGTGTGAGCTCCGTGACTTTGCCTTGCGAAGCTTGGCTTTCCTGCTGCTAAAAGACGTCAGGCGGGCCCGTCGTTGTCTGTGGGATGTTGCGTCCAGGTGACCTGTGCTGGCGCCCCCGATGCTTTTCCGGTTTAAGTCCTGCAAGTAGGGAGCAGCTCTGGGCTGCAGCTCCCTGGCCCTCGGCAGGAGCCACCACCAGGCTGAGGTGAGGGACATTCCTATGGCTTTGATCTGCCCTGTCCACTTGGGGGAAGGATGCTTTTCTGAATCTGATGGACCACTTTGATTTGACGCTGTTTTCTCCTGCCAGTCTGCAATGATAAGGTTCAGAGAATACTTTGTCTTTGATGGAGGGAGTCAGATTTGGGTCTGAAATGCGTTTTCTGCGTAACTAGGAGATGGGACCCAGCGATGTAGCCTGGCGGTTGGGTACTCACCTTTCCTCAAAGATGCCGTCTGCTGGGAGTGAGAATGGGCTGTGACATGCAGACGCCCCTGGGGACCAGCCGTGGCAGCGGCAGGCCTTAACGAGAAGGCATAAGGGACCGCTCCCTGAGAGCCACCCTCTGAAGCCATTGCCACTGGCGGCGGCACAGGGAACAGAAAGGACCTCCCTCCGACCCAGGCGGCCCAGGCTTTGTGCTTCTGCGCAGGAGAGAACCAGAGCCGCCGCACTGCCCAGCCATGCTCAGGACCCTCGGGCTGGCCCTGCTGTCTCTGCTCAGCTCCGTGGGCTCCAGCCAGGCCAGTGGCTTCACAGGTGAGGGGTCAGGGCTCAGTGTGGGTGATGCTGGAGGAGAGGGGCTCCCCGGAGCGGGTCTCAGTAAGGGCAGCATCCCTGCTGAGAGCGGGCAGGCAGATGCTTCTGCGTTGCGAGGTTAGCCCCTGCTCCTTCTCACCAAACGCTCTTGTAACCACAAGAGGTGTCCCGTGTGCCTCTGGATCGCCTGGGGGCCTGTGGGGTTCTGAGCAGATTCTGAGCGAACAGGGTCTGGGTGGAGGCCGGAACTGTGCAGTTCTGCGGTGGGGCGGGTGACGCAGCTCCACAGGACACACAGAGGAGCCGCCGGTGAGGTGCCCTTGGCACCCTCAATTTGCAGAGGAGCTGGAGGCCCAGGAGGTCAGGAACTCACCCGAGGCATATAGCTGGCTGAGGGTGGGTTCCACCCAGGCAACCCCGACAGGGAGGTGGGGTCATGAGGTGGGCTCCTGTCCACCTGCCCCTCCCCTTGGGCTCAGACGAACCCATTTCCTTAGCGATAAATGAGGATGAAGGTAGCCCGCGGGGAAGTCAGGAGCTGAGCGAGGGCACCTGTCTAAAGCCTTTGTGAGGCTCGTGGTCAGCTGCGAAAAAATATTGGGTTTCTGCAGCTCCAGGTTTCAAAGAATTGCCATGGGAAACCTTTCACATCAACTTCCTCCTGAAATCCGTCTTATTCAGTCGGGAACTCAAACAGGTCCATTCTGTTCCCATAATCAAATTCAGCTTTGCGCTGGTTTAAAGTGTTTTTTTACCCATAAGTAGGATGTTGGTGTAACTGTGATTGTTTTCACCTGATTTTCCCTCGGGAATGGGTAACGAGCAAACCACACAGCTCAGCCGCAGAACGCGTGGGACCATCGCGAAGCTAGAGGAGACCTGGGGAGGTGTTTGTGAGCCCCTCATTGTTTGTGAGGACACAGGGAACAAAAGCTCTGTGACACTCGGGGTTGCACATCTGTTTGGTCTACGCACCACGTACTTGCCTTTACAGGCATTATCTCAGTTAATCCCACCCCCCGGGCGTAGCTAGTACTTTACAAATGACAGGACTGGATCATTGCGAGGGCATGACATGCTCTGACCGCACAGCTGGTGTTGATGAAGCTGGTGTGAACGTGGGTCTCTGACCCCAGGGCCCCGGCTCGCTCTGGAGTATGCTGTCCCACCTCTGAGACGAACCCAGGACCCCCGCCTCCCATGCTGATGGCTCTTGAAGGGATTTATTGAACGGCAGGATCTGCTAAGAGGTTTCTACTCTGGGCTCTGCCTAGAACCCGGCATAGAGAGGACCTGGTGGCCTCCAGGAGAACGTAAACAACGAAACTAAACAGATCGCTCGCAAGTGTGTCACAGGAGATGTGTGTGTGGGTGTGTGATGACCGCCTGGGACCGTGTCATGATCAGATGGGGACCGTGACTCTAGAGACAGGGATGAGATGCCGACCTTCATTAGTGGTTGGCATCTCGTCTCAAGACGAAAAACAAAATCTAGGTCCGCCTTGCCACACTCTCCAGCAGGAAGTCCTTGCACTTTGTCTTGTAAGCCGATCGCTTTCACAGTGGCCGTTGTCCTTAGCTCCTGATCTAAGTCAGCTCTACACTCTGGGCGAAGTGACCTTGGTCTCAGAGGCTGATTTCTCCTGCCTCACCCACATAACGAGGGGCCTCCCGTTCCTTCCCAAAGCGAACTGTCACCCACCCTTGTGGAGATGGGCAGCGGGTGTCTCCTCTCCCAGAGGCCCTGCCACCCACAGAGGTGACGCGGAGGCAGCCCGGAAGCTCACTGGCTGCGGGGTGGGTTCGCTCTGGGGTGCGGTGGTTCAGCTGTGTCCAGCCCTGGGTGAGGCTGCAGGCCGCCCCATCAGCCGGGCTCGAGGGCCGGCTCAGTCCCGTTCTTCCTGGGGATCACCAGCCCCGAGTCTCGCTTTCTGCACGCTTGGGGGCTGCTGTGAGGCCAGAGGAGGGCATCCTCAGGGGTGCAACCTGCTTCTGGGGATGAGGATGGTTCATGCGGCCGCGCCTGAGTTCATCCTCAGAAAGCCAGCTTCTCGCTGGGACTTCACACGGCAAGGGAGCGCCGGCCATCGTCTCTGCGGCCCCACTCAGCTGGGAGCTGAGGCCGAGACTCTGAAAATGGCAAGTGTGCTCAGACCAGGCATTCATCCTGCCCTGAGCCCCAAGAACAGAGAGCCCCATGCTGGCTGCATGAGCACCCTGGGCTGCCTGGGCCCAGTACCACAGGCTGGGGCGTAAACACTGAGATTTAGTCCCTCGGTCCCAGAGGCCGGAAGTCCAAGAGGCAGGTGTCAGCAGGACAGGTCCTGCTGCTGGCTGTGAGGGAGGCTGCCCCATCCTCCCCCGACCCTGGCGGTTTGCTGGCCATCTTGGGGTTCGCGGGCTTATAGAAGTGTCCCCTTGACTTCTGCCTTCACCTTCACAGTAACAGTTGGACTGGACTTGACCAGCTGTGACCCCTCACGTGTGCCTGGACTTTCTGTGTATCCATCTCTCAGCTCAGTCCATGAGCAGCGGTTCTCAACCTGGAGGTCGCGACCCCTCTGGGGGTCGAAGGGCCCTTTCACAGGGGTCGCCTAAGACCATCGGAAAGACCACATATTTCCGATGGTCTTCGGAACCGAGACACCTCTCTGTCCGTCTCCAGGCGGGTCCGCCCACATGCAGATACGCCCAGACAACATGAGGACCTGTGTTAAAGGGTCGCGGCTGAGGAAGGTTAGAACTACTGCAAAGGGTGTTTGCCGTCCGAGCCTGGTGCGCAGCAGGCCTTCAGCGTGCAGTGGTGGGAATTGTCGCTGATGCATCTCCCACGGGGCAAACCGTGGCTCGTGGAGACTGAGGGTCGTGCACAAGACTCTCCAGCTACAGAATCACAGAGGACGAAGCAGAACATGGGGGCCTGAGCCTTGTGTGTCTGCCTTGTGTGTACCCCGAGGGCTGCGGGCACGTGGCTCGGCCTGGCCGCTCCACGTTCGGTCGAGGTTTCCTAGGGGCAGGCCTCTGTTCACGCGTCATCCCTCGCGCGTACGTTGCCGCATGGACTGCTCGGCGGGCTGGGGGCAGATTCGAGGGTCTGCACGGGGGCAGGGTCTGGTTCCCTCGCTGCTACAGAGGGGGGACAGTCCTCGCGTAGAGGGGGGCCCTGGCGTCTGTTCTTCCCTCCGTTCCTCCACCCTCCTTCCTCTCTCGTAGACAAAGGCCTGTCCTTGCTGAGCTACCAGCTGTGCACCTACAGCGTGACCCAAAATGTCCAGAAGGTGGAGGTGGTCCGCATGTCCCACGTGACCTACGCCCCCTGCGGCGGGTGGATCCCGTGGAGGCGGTGCCCCAAGACCGTTTACAGGACCCGGTACCTGGCCGTGGACGTCCCCGAGTCCAGGAACGTGACCGACTGCTGCGAGGGCTACGAGCAGCTGGGCCTCTACTGCGTCCTGCGTGAGTCCAGGGTGGGGCGCCTGGGGTCCTCTCCCTCACGTCCTCCGCCCTGGGAGTCCTGTTGCGTCTCCGAGAGTCACTGGTCACACCCATTAGCCCTGAGCTTACCAGATCTTTCCAGAACACTGGTTCCTAACCTTGAGCAGCAGGACCATCTGGAGGGCTTGTCCAAGCACAGGTCACTAGGCCCACCCCTGGACTTCAGGTCCAGTGGGTCAGGGGTGAAGCACAAGCTCCCAGGTGCAGTGATGCTGCTGGCCCGGGGGCCCAGCTTGAGGACCTTTCTTCTAGAGCAGCGGCTCCTGCACAGCCGGGCCCCTGGGCCGCTCTGGGAACACCAAGGCCCTGGTTCTCGCCCCAGAAACCGTGATGGACTCTGTCCGGGGCGCAGCTTGGGCGTCGGCATGTGTTTAAAGCTCCCCAAGCTAATAACCCGCCGTGGAGTTTGAGAAGCAGTACTGCAGGCTCCTCCACCCTTTTCTTTGCCAAAGTTGTACCGGATGCTCTCTTGATTCGACCTCCTAATCTGAACGCCCATGTGGAAGGAGATGGAAGGGGTCCCTCAGTTCCCCCTACTGCTCAGAGCCTCTTCCTTCCTCCGTGTGAGTTGGAAGATGCTTGGGGCAGTGGCCAGGGTGACCAGTGTGGCTGTGCCGGGCCCGCGTCTAAGGCCAGGTGCCTGTGCCGTGTGGGGTTCAAGGCTCAGCCCCTGGACGTGAAAGGAACTTTCCAGAAGGCATCTTCCAGGGCAGAGGGTGGGTACGTGAGCGTGTATGGGTGTGGGGATTGTCACCGCTGAGTCAATACTGGATCGCGAAGGAGTTTCTGAGCAGTCAGAAGGTCCCCTTGTCCCCACACTGTCCTGGAGGGGAAATGGGAAGGGTGTCTCTCCAGCAAATGTCAACAGGGTCACCCCCAGTTTGAGAGCTGCCACCTCCAGTTGCAGAAAGTATCAGCTCAGGGAGTCTCGGGGGGGGGTCCCCACATGACCCATACCTGGGGCCTGAGGCCAGGACAGCATCGGGCTAATGCATGAACATCGCACACCAGGGGTGCCGACCTCCCCCCACACCAGGGTGACAGGGTGTAGCCTTGTGTCCTGCGGCTCCCCAGAAGGCTGCGTGGGCTTGGCACGCTGAGTCATCCTGAGCCTGCCTCCCCCAGGTCCCTCAAACAACTCAGCAACCCACGATCCAAGTGGTAGGAGCATTATGAGGACAAGTGTGATATTTCTTTCAGTCTAAGGGACTTTTTACATTTTCTAAAATTCAGCATTAGGAACACAGTGGTAACTCATACATTATTTTATTTCAATATGTATCTCTTTTTTTCCTCTTAGATAGAGGGGGAGGGAGAGAGGGAGGAAGAAAGAGAGAGAAACATCGACGTGACAGAAACACATCGACGGGTTGCCTCCCACACGACCCCAACCAGGGCTGGGGACAAACTGCAACCAAGGTGCATGCCCTTAGCGGGAACCGAACCCGGGTCTCTCTGGTCCATGGGCTGAAGCGCTAACCGCTGAGCCAGACCAGCCAGGGCTCAGTATGTATCTTTTTGCTATAATTACAAATATGAATGCATGAGCCATGCAGAAAATCTGGAAACAAAGAAGAATCTCCCAGGGGACAGGGGTGCCTGCCTCTTTCCGTGGACCCTGTGCGGAGGGCCGGGCAGACACATCCTGACGGTTCAGGGGTCGTCTCAAAATGACACCATTATTACTAACACTGCGACGGCCAATAGAAACTAGATGGGGCCAGCTGACCTCGGGTTCTTGGCTTGGAGCCAGCTGTATGCTCCCGTTGACTCTAACGGGGCGCCTGAAGGGAGGGGCCGTCCTCTGGGGGTCCTGCCCAGGTGCTGGGCGGACGGAGTCCCTTCCAGTGCTGACCCCAGCCCCCTCTCCGCTGTCCCTGTCCTCAAGGGCCACATGCATGAAGGGGTGGCCAACTGAACCACTGTCCCTGCCCTGGGAGCACCTCTCTTCCTGAGGGGCGGGGGTCCCATTATTTGTGGAGATCGTGGAGCCCATGGCACCTTGGTGTGGAGTGTCAGAATCCAGCGCAGAAAGGCAGTGGCCCTGCTCCATTTGTCTTCACCGGTGAAGGCCACACAGGTCAAGGCCTGCTGGCTGTTGTCAGGGCCAGTGAGGTCACAGGTCCAGCAGCCCCGAGGACCACCCAGGATTGGCTGAGCCCCACCAGCCCCACCCGCCAAAGGGTGATCTTTCTGTGAGGGCTCTGGCCCTGCTGAGCTAAACAAGTCAAGTCCCAAAGGAGAGAAGGCGAGAAGGGCCGGTGTCCCTTCCCTGCCACCCGCCGCTTGTCTTTCTGCCCCTCAACACACCAGCCACCAAGAAATGCCTCTCCTGGGACATCAACCCCACTTTTAAAGCGTTGGCACCTTTAATTGGGAACTCACTGGGTGGCTGGAGGGCCAGAACGTACTAGTTAGAGAGTCCGGGGCAGGGCTGCTCTGGGGACCTATAGGAGGGGTGTGGCTAGAGCAGGGGAGTGGGGACATGGGAGGACATGCTGAGCACCCTGCCCACCTCTGCTCTCGGGGACAGCGCGCTGGCCGCTGGGACTGCCCGGTGAAAGCACTTACACTGTGGGCATTGGCAACACACCCCTCTCTCCGCTGCCCCCGCTGCCCCAGGGCCTGACTGCTCGATTAGACCTTGATCGAGAGGCCGAGGGGCAGGCCGCTCTTTGGAGCCTGCAGAGTTCCGGCCTCCTAAGTGGTCCCCAGACCCGTGGCTGCTTTGCACAGAATGGGGCAGAGGCCAAACCCTGGATGTGGTAGCTACGGAGACAGCCTGGACGCGTGGGGAGGACAGGAGGGCCCCCGGGTTCCCCCGGGGCGTGGGGGGACTCGTATCTTGGCAACCCAGGGCTGAGCTCAGGCAGCGGGAGGCTCAGACTAGCTTCCTCCTTTCCCTCCCACTCAACGACCGACTCACTAAGAAGGGAAGAGCGTTCTGAGAACACCCGGGCCTTTCAGTCTAAATGACTTTCGATTTCTAAAACTCCAGCGTTTGGAAAGGCAACAGTAACTCATCCATTATTTTCTTTAAATGTATCTCTGTACTCTCATTACAAAAGCAAATGCTCAAGCCATGCAGAACATCTGGAAATGCAGAAGAGAACGCAGGGACGCCACCCTAAGCCACCCCCCCACCCCCCCACCCCCACGCCCCAGCATAGCCACTGTGAACATTTTCTGCTATCTTCGTTCAGGGAAGGCGTTTTACAAAAGCGTGGTCACCCTGTTCGAGATTTTCCTGTAGCACACTTTTACCATTTGGCAGTGTACCTGGGCCACGTTTCATGTCAATAAATACTGTCCCGCAGCACGATTCAACAGCCACATGTCATCCGCTCGTATGGATGTATCAGCGGGAGCCAATTTTCTGCCATTTAACTTCAGCTGCTTCCAAGTTTTCGTTATCACACACCCTGCTGTGATGAGTGTCCGATGGTACAGACACTGCTTTGCACAAGCTGGGGTGGCACTAACGGACCACCTGACCATTGCTCGCCAGCTGCGGTGACACCTGGGTTTCCACTCAGCCCATCTTCATGGGCCCATCATCATGGCAGAAAGACCCCACCCTGTACCCAGAGACTGCCCCAAACTCCCCATCCCCCCAGGTTGAGGCCAGGGCCCCTTCGGGGAAGGACTCCCAGGAAGGAGGAGGGAGCGGGAATGATTTTCCAGAGGATTACATTTCAGAGCCTGGGAGGCCTCAGGGCTGCTGCTCAGACAGAAATCTCTGTCGGGTGGGCCCCTCCAACCGTGACTAACTTGGGTTGCCAGGCACCGAGCAGTCCTGTTTCATTGTTTACATTGAGATAGTGGAGGGAGAAGCAGATTTCTGACTTTCTACCAAGCTGGAATTGTTGCCGGTCCCCCGGGGTTCTCAGGGAGCGCCAGCCCTGTGGGCGGGAGGAGGGGCGTCCCTGCAGCAGTCAGGGCGCTGAACTTGGACACCTGTCTGCTGTGGTCTACAACCAGTTCTGAAAGCGGATTTTTCTTGGTGGCCCGTACTTTCTTTCCATTTGAGGAACCCTTTAGGTTAGACCAGTTGAGATGGACAGGCCAGTTGCAAAGACGATGGAGAGAGTGCCCTGGTACCCTCACAGTGCCCCCAGTGTCTGTGTCCTGTGTCACCACCGGGCACCTGTCCCCACGGAGGAACCGGCGCTGTGCATTGCTGGCAGTCCAACTGAACGCTTGATGGATTTCACTTCCTTTTTCTTATAGTGGTTTTTCTGTTCCAGAAGCCACCTCACATTTAGTCTCATGTCCCCTTCACCGTAAGGCCGCCGGATTTTACGATGGAAGAGAAAGCAAAGACCTTCAGATCCTTGGTCGGTGGCCCCACAGGGATGCTGGCACTTCTGTCCCAGTGGCTCTCCATTTTTTATGTCACCAAAGCCAGTCCCTGTGTGGCCATTTCTCCAGGACTTTAGGCTCCAGAATGGCACTGCCCAGGCCTGGCTGCAGCCCTCGAGTGGCTGCACTGTCCGCTCCAGAGAACCACAGACGTGATCAGCGTCGGGGGCTCCCAGATCCGGTGCGCGCGGGGCACCCAGGTTTCATCACTAATATCATTAACTGCTGATTGCTTCCCCAGCCCTGAATCGGTCCAGGGAATTTACATCAAGACCCGGCGTCTGCCCGAAGGCGGGGCAGGAAGCATCCACCTCGCCCTGCACCCTGGATTCTGACTGCCCTGGACTTCAGAAGTGCTGCCCCTTGTCGTGGGGGCACCATTGCGTGGCTCCCGCACCCCAAGGTAGGACTGAGGTCTGCAGCGAAGGAGGCGTCCAGTTAGGCCGCTGCTCGTGGGCTGGGGTTCGGCCCTGATCTGGTGAAGGTGGGGGGAGCGATTTCCAGGAACCCTGGCTGCTGTCCCGATGTCACTAGGAGCCCACAGCTGTGTGCAGGCACACCCCACTCCCGCTCAATGCAATGTCTCTGTCGAAACCTGGCCACCGACATCTCAGAGCGGGGCGTGCTCACGGGCGCCCTGAGGGGGCAGCCATTCCTGGCAGAGATCGACCCGTTTCCCAGGTTCACCTGGGGAGCCCTAGAGCTCTGGATGGCACTAGATGGAAGCTGACCTGTGTCATAGCGGGAAGGTGTGCAGCTGCTCCTGAAACCCGAAACCCTGCAGGTCCGTGGCCCAGCCCTCAGGGTACATCTGTCCGGTCTGGAAGATTCTGGTCTTGGCCATGGCCGCCGCCAGGAGAACGGGTCGGTCAAGGTTCAGAGCCGGGGAAAATATGTACATAGCCCCAGTGAGTGGCTCAGCTGGTCGGAGCATCATCCTGTGCAACAGAAGTCTGCGGGTCCGATTCCCGGTCAGGACACATACTTGGGTTGCAGGTTCAACCCCTGGACAGGGCAACCGATGGATGTTTCTCTCTCACATCGATGTGTGTGTGTCTCTCTCCCTCAAAATCAATATCCTTGGGTGAGGATTAAAAAAAAAATACACACACACACATATCATATGCATTATATGTTATAATGTAGTCTATTATTGGTATAGTATAAATAATGTAAAGTATTACATATCACATATTAATTACGTGATTTTACTATATACATCACAGTACACATATTCTATAAAATATATATTACACACAGCATTATCTATTATTACAATAATATAGTGTATAGTAGACATAGGATTACATGTGTTGTGTCCATGTGATGTACATATTGCATGTGTATAGGAGGTGGGGAAGTGTCCCATGCCGGCCAGGTGGCAGCCCCTCATAGGAGGCTGAATGCAGGAGGCCAGCCCCCTGCCTTCCTGGTCTCCTGTGCCCCTCCCCACCCCGGGGTCTCTGGTGGCCGCACCAGGTCCTGGGCCTACAGCTCTCAGCCTGTGTCCCCCTGCAGCTCCAGAGAGCAGCTTGGCCAGGTCCTGGTACAACGTGACAGTCCTGGTGAAAATGGACTTCCAGGAGCTCCAGCGGGTGGACACCAGGCTCCTGGGCCACATGCGGCTTCTGCACTCGATGGTAGGTGAGACGAGCCTGCTGGCGGGCGCATGGGGGGCTGGCGGGAACCGGGGGTCGGGGACGGGTTCCACGAGGGACCTTAGAAGGCCTGACTCTGAAGCCAATGTGAATTCCTTATTTAGAAACCGAAGCTTCGCCCTGACCAATTTTGCTCAGTGGTTAGAGCGTCAGCCTGCGGTCCAGAGAGTCCTGGGTTTGGTTCCTACTAAGGGCACGTACCTCGGTTGCGGTTTGTCTCCGGTCCCGGTTGGGGTCGTGTGGGTGGCAGCCACTCGATGTGTCTCTCTCACGTCGATGTTTCTTTCTCTCTCTTCCTCTCTCTCCCTCCCGCTCTGTCTGAAGATGAATTCAAAAATATCCTTGGGTGAGGATAAAAAAGAACAAAGTTTTAAAAAGTGTGATTTACGTGCCACAAAATGCATACACAGAAGTGTGCGGTGTGCAGACACAGCCTTGAGCCCTGGTCACAGTCTAGAATAGGCCCCAATCTTTTAACGGTCTGACGCTTAAACCTAAGGTGCCCCAGTGTAGATGGCCTGGGCCCCAGTTGTGCCCCAGATGGCCTGCATCCCAGCGTCATGGAAAGTGCTGGGATGGGGACTTCTGCCCAGTGACATTGGCGTCTGCAGCTGGACAACTCTGTTGTGGGGGCTGCCCGACATCATAGGATTTCTCAGCACAAGAACCCAGGAACAAGCCTAGATAGTTTTCTGACAACCAAAAAGATCTCTGGAGGTGCCACATGTCCCCTGAGGAGCAACCCCATTCCTGCGGGAGAGCCCGGCTCCGTCCAGCACCTCTGCGGCCTCCAGCCAGGACGTCTTCACGGTGCCGGACGGGGCTCCGCTCATGGTCCCCGAATGGAGGTCCTTCCAAGGTGGGAGTCACCCTCGGCTCAGAAGGGTCCCACACTCCGATGCTCTGTGGTGCCTCTGGAAATGTTTCACACTGTTCGAATAAGGCCCCCAATTTTCCTTCTGCACTGGGCCCCACGCACTGTGGCTGGTCCCGCCTGACCTTCGGATCCCACCTTTGTGTCCCCTGTGTGACGGGGAAACAGACTCAGACTGGGTCCCTTCCCCTCAGAACAGATGGCACACAAACTCACCTTGCTCTGGGCCGTCCAGTAAGCGGCTTGAGAGGCATTTCGAAAGGACACCGTCCCCTGGAAGCCTCCTTAACTGCCCCAGCTGGGGGTGGTTTTGTCTTCTCTAAGCTTGTGAGGGGCAGGGGCAGACAGCCCCATCGGCCAGTGAGAGCAGGGCTCAGGAGCCAGACTGCCAGGGTTCAAACCCCAGGGCAGCCACTCATCAGCTGTGTGGCCTTGGGCGAGTTACTTAACCTCTCTGTGCCTTCCATACCACGTCCATTGATTAGAAATAGTTATCATCCTATTGAGATGGTGGCCATGAGGTTTAAACAGTACATGGAAAGAGCTTAAACAAATATTAGGTTGGAAAAAAGGATTCATATGACATGAGAAAACAGATCCCTGAAGCTAAAAAAATCAGATGCACAACACAAGGCCATGGTTTGACGTGCAGTTTTTGAATTTCCAGTCTAACTCTCTGCCATGAGCTGTGAGGATGGGGCCTGAGGGGCCCCAGGGGTGACTCGTGTTTTGTTCCGGGGCTAGCCGTGACAGAGTGCCGCAGACTGGGGGCTCACACGACAGACCTTCTGCTCCCACAGGTCTGAAGGCCAGAGGCCTGAGTTCGAGGTGCGTGCAGGGCTGCTCCTTCTGAGGCTGTGAAGGAAGGGACCCTTCCAGGCCCCTCTCCGTGGCTTGTAGGTGACTGTCTTCTCCCTGTGTCTCCCCAGCATTTCCTCCTATCAGTGTCTGCCTCTGTCCAAATCTCGTCTTTGTGTAAGAACACCTCATTTCCAAATAAGGGCCCTTCTGAAGTCCTGGGGTAGGAGTTCAGCATAAGGGTGGACACTGGTCAGCCCAGGACAGCTGGTGCTGCGGAAGTATTTGTAAACCAGTGTGCAGGGCGCTACTGGGATGACGGCGGAACAAACCACCGTCGTTCTCTTCTGCAGAGCGGTGCGTGCGCGTGAACTTGAGCTCCGGGCCCCAGTCTCCCTGTCTGTCTGATGGCGGCAGGTTCACTGGGTGATGCTCTAACTCCGGCTTCACAGGTCACCAGTGCCCTGCAGCCGACGGACGCCGCTGTCCACCACCTGCACTCGGCCTGTGGGGACACCTCGACCACAGTGTCCAGGCTGCTACTGGGTCTGCCACAGCCGGTGCCCGTGGCCAGGGTCTCCGCAGTGCTGGACAGCATTGTGAAGCGTGTCTACGAAGTGATCAACATCCAGGTGCAAGGTGTGCTTTCCCTGGGCCTCTCCGTGGGGGTGGGTGCCGGCGTGGAAAATAATCCAGCAGGTAAGGGGGGGCTGAGCCATTTTATTTTGTTTTTATTTTTCCAATTTTTCTTAATTTATTTACAGATGTTTCTCCTTTCCCCTCCCAGACACCCTCCTCCCCATCCCGCCACCCCCCACCCCCCAGCATTGTTGTCTGTGTCCACCGGTTACGCAGACATGTAATAAGTTCTTTGGTTCATCGCCTCCCTCCCCCCACCCCCTCCTCTGAGGTCTGTCAGTCTGAACCGTACTCCTTCTATGTCTCTGGGTCTACATATTTCGTTCATCAGCCCACCTTGTTCATTACATTCCACAAATAAGTGAGATCACATGGTATTTGTCTTTCTCTGATTGGCTTATTTTGTTTAGCATAATACTCTCCAGGTCCCTCCATGTCATCTCAGTGGCTGACCCATTTTAGCTCACACTGGTCCAAACAAGTTTAAACTCTGTGTCCTCCATACCCCCCATACCCGGGTTTCTCCTTCCATCCATGTGGGCGCCGGTGAACGGACCCCAGAGCAACACAAGGGTTTCTTCCTCTAGCGCTCAGGTTCCTACATGTCCCCCTGCCTCCCTCCCACCCTGCCAAGGACATCCTTGTACCTAGAAGGCTCCGTCAGCAGAATTTGTGCAGGGTTGAATTTGGTGAAGAACACAGATGTGGCCTTGTTTCTGGAAGAATTACCTGGTCCGTCCTCCCTCCCTCCCTCCTCCTTCCCCCTCCCTCCCCCTCCCTCTCTCCCTCCCCCCTCCCTTCCTCCCTTCCTTCGTTCCCTTCCTATCCCTTCTCCCTCCCTCCCTTTCTCCCTCCCTTTGTTTGGTGTATATCAGGGGCTAGCAAACATTTCCTGAAAGCATCGTACAGTAAATTCTTCGGGCTGTGGGCCACGTGGCCTCTTCTCAGTGCTCAGCTGCCACGTGACACGGAAGGAGCCGTGGGCAGGGTGTGAGCACAGGGCCCCAGCAGCACGTCCTTTTCCACGACGGGAGGCAGCTGAGTTCCCTGCTCCCTGGGAGGGTGGCTGCTTCTGTGGGCGAAGCTCCTTCCAGGGCAGTGAAGGGCAGTGAAGGGCATACGCCCGGCTCTGGACCATTCATTCCTCTGAAAACCCACAGACGTGCTTGCGGACCAAACTGAGCAGCGCCCACGAGAGACGAGCCTGCCTGGTCCGCGAAGGCCCCGGCTGGGCCGCAGGAGCGTGTCTGTGGGTGACCACGGGGTCAGCGCTGGAGGCAGCGAGAGCAGGGCGTGGGCCGGGGCCGGCGAAGCGAACCTGCGGCGGGATGTGGGCTTCCACTGGCGGCTTCAGGGGACAGCTTCGCTCCAGGGTTTGCTCTGGAGCGGACGCTGTCAGCAAGTGAGGATCTGATTGGGCATCTCAGCAAATCTTCCTTATGGAGAGGGGCAAGCGAGCCCGAGAGGAGCTACAGTTAGTGAAACCAGAGTCACACCTTAGCCCAAGGTATCCGTGGGTGACACGGGGCCTCTCCTCGGGCTGACTTGGGAAGTCGTGCGGTGGCGTGGTTCTGTCCACTTTCTCCCAGTCGGGGAGCAGCCTGTGTGTTCTGTGAGATGGCTTCTGTCGATCGGAGAGTGACGGGGCCCAGCTGAGTGACAGGCCACTTCTGAATGGCAGGGGCTGCTCTGTTCTCTCTCTCAGTCTGGAGAGGGGCCCATCCACCAGGTTAATTCTTTGGTAGGATGTTTGGACCCATCATTTTATGACCCTTCAGACTCGATACAGCCCCAAGGCAACGACAGCCCCCACAGCCCCCCAAGCCACAGGGTGCCGGCCCGCGTGTCCTGAGTTGTGGGACAGCTCGGCGGGCTCTATCACAGGGCATCGGAGGCACCTGGGGCCCGCTGCCCAGTCCACCTCCTCCGCTCCTGGGACACACATTGGGAGGTTCGTGAGGATGACCAGGTGGTTCCAACTCCCCTGTTCTTCTCTCCGGTAGATGTGAATGAATGCTTCTACAAGGAACTCAACGCCTGCTCCGAAAGGGAACTGTGTCTGAACGTGGAGGGCTCGTACCAGTGTGTCCGCCACCCGGAGGGGCTGACCTCGTCTCCCCAGAGGCTGAACCGCACGTGTGAAGGTAAGATGGCACAGGACCCGTGCAAGCAGCCTCTTCAGACGAGACAGTCCGTAGACCACAGGGATCCGCTCCTCCTGTAACGAGGAAAAGGCTGGTCAGGCAGAGACTCGTCGCCTGGTTCTGTAGATTGTTCTTGATCTCATACCCGGCTATTCTTCATTCTTTGATCGAAACCATGTTTATTTATGTGCCACTCACTGTGTGAGATGCTGGTGATGGAAACACGTACGAATCGATCATCGTCTCTGCTCTCAGGAAACTCAGGAGAGAACATGCCAGATGCTTGCCAGGCGTCACGTATGTGGGTAGGATAATGTGTGATCTATTGTTTACACTGGGTCACCTTTGAGAGTGGAAGCGGCCCTATTAATCCGCTGGGCCCAGGAGTAATCGGGACCATCCCTGGGACTGCTGGTTAATTAGACGGGAAAGAGAAAGAGGGAAATGAGGCCCGTGCAGATGTCTTGGCCAAAGGACGGAACAGACAGTAATTCCTGAATGAGTTGGGGGAAGACTAGGGCTATGACTATTATTTTTGACAATAACAGTTTATATTGAGAGGGGATTGAAGTCGCGTGGAGAGGCCAGGATGCTGAGTTGGATATTGGGCGCTAGAGCTCAGAGGTGGACTGAGCTGCGTACGGACATCTGGGGTCATCAGCATCCAGGCGGCATTTCAGTATGGGCATGGTTGGGGCATCAGAAGGGGGCCTGGGGCCTCTGGCTGAGGAACCCCACTATTTAGAAGTCAGTACAGGAGGAGCAGCTTGCAAAGAGACGAGTGAGGCTGGAAGAACAGTAGGAAAGAGTCTCAGAAGCGTTTGCAATGAGGAGGCTGAGACCAAGCAGAGCCTGCAGGAGAGGGCAGACTCCCAGGAGTGTCCTTTTGGAAGATGGGTGATGCTGAAGCAGGCTCACGTGCCGGCAGGAGAGACCTGGTCAGTTCTTGCGCTCCAGGGCCCAGTCCAGCCTTCTCTCTTCTGGGAAGCTGCTCTTGGACTTCTCCCCTCCCCCTAGGGCCTCCCGAGCTGGGGATGCTGGTCACCTGCAGTTGCTCCAGTGGCCGGCGTGTGGTCAGGAGAAGCTTAATGCCCACAGCCTGCAGAGCTGTCTGCAGGCGAGCAAGGCCGAAGGTGCAGCTGGATGGTGAGCGGGAGATGCTAAGATGGAATCCCCTAGCTTGCGTGGATGGGCAGAGAGGGTTCATTTACTCACTTACGGGACACATTTTAATGAGTGCCTGTTATGCACCAGGTACTGTGCCTACTATGCTGGGTAAAGACTAGACTAGAGAGGTATTGCAGGCCCCAAATTCACTCTTTCCTTCCTTAGCAACAGAATTTGGATTGGGTTTTGTGTGGAAATGCCTTAGTTGAAGAGACCAGGTTTCCCTACCTCTCTTGCAGGCAGGGTGGCCATGTGACTCGTTTTAGCCAATGAGATGTTGCAGAAGTATCTATGAGAGTCAGGAAGACTGCTTAATGGTTATGGGCCCTGCTGGGGCCAGGCTGGGCACAGGACTGTGATGGCCAAGGCCCCATTGGCCATCTGAGCCACATGGTGACAGTGAGGCTAAGGCTCAGATACTAGTGGTGGGGGAGCAAAAAGAGTGAAGGGGCCTGGGCCTGAGGTATTTCAAGGGGTATTGACATTTCAAGGGGTACACCTGCCAGAGGTCGAACCCTGTTATATGGGGTTTCCTATTATATGGGACATCTTATCTCAATCCAAGTGACTTGAGGCAAGGCAGGGAGCAGGGAGGTAAAGGTCAGATGGGGTCCTGGAAGCAGGTGGCTGGTGGTGAGATGGTGGGTGTGGTGGGGAGGCGTGTCTGCTAGACAGACACCAGGACCCAGAGCACAGGGGTGCACAGCACAGGCAGGGGATCGGCGGGAGAGGAGGCTGCAGGCTGGGCACAGACGGACGGGGTACTTCTCTCAGAGTCCAGCCTAGAGCAGATACCACTTATTCAATTTGGCCACTAAAACTTTCTTTTGTCATTGCAGAATCTGATTTATTACTTTAGCAACATTCTAGCAACAGTGGAAAGATAAGTCACCCCCAGTCTCTATGCGCCAGCAAACTGTTATTTTTCCCTATTTAAATCCTGCTGTGCATGCAATTTTGTATTCTGCTTTCTCCATTCCCCGTTCAAGGTTTCCAAGAAGCAACCTGGTCTTCATAACCCTAATTTCCACGGTTGAGTAATAATGATGTTGTGTAGCAGTGATATAATGTCTCAGCTATTTGTCTCTCGGGGGGCATTAAGGTGGCTTCCAACATTCTGCTATAGAAACTAGGACTTTCAGTAACTTTGTGAAGTGGTTATGGAGAATATTGTTACAATCACGTTGAATTACTTAATTTAATGTGCACGTCCGAGTCCCTCTAAAGGACCATTAACCGCGAGGCCCTCCCTTTGTTCAGAATAACACAGCCAAGAACTGCTTAGCACTTAGGTCACCCAGCTCTGTAATGAGCACCTTTCTATTGTCACCTTATTTCATCCTTAGAACAACCCCACCAGGCAACTGCCCCGCGGTATTTCCCCCGGGGCTGCCCCTTGTCACTGCGTTGTGCCACCCGGTGGCCATGCCCTTCCCGCCCACATGGTGCCGAGGATCAGGAGCTGACCAGAGTTCTGGAGGCCTGGACTGCTCCCTTGGTGATCCAGGACAGCATGAGTGCAAGATGCTCGCTGACTCCCCGCTCTGCTCTGCTGTGGAGGGGGAGGCGGAGGCTGCGGGCGCGCTCGGAGGGGCTGGTTCCCAGCTCCACTTGAGGACCGGGAGGGGTGCAGGTCAGTCTTCCTCCACTGGGATGTCCTACTTCCTCCAGGATGAAGTTCCATGGGGCAGGTCTCCCGGTCACTGCTAATGAGCCCCTGCACTTGGCAGACAGCCGCTCAGCACATACTTGACATCAGTCAGTGGAGAGGGAGGTTTGCCGGCGGCTATTCCCGGGGTCTCTGGATGTTTGGGCGGTGCACCTCCCAGCCCACTTCCAGCAACAAGACACCCCTCCACCACGCAGCCCATGACTCTGAGGGTCTGATGAGTGCCCTCCACGCACAACTGAGCCCACGAGCTTTTCACAGGCTCCCCCGCTGACCACCCTTGGATCTCCCGCACTGGGGCCTCCAGGCAGGGAGTCCTGTTCGTCACTGAGCATAGAGGGTTGGAATACACTTATTGAAAGTACTCTGGCCAGGAATCTGAAAAAAATATCAGGCTCTATTTATAGTTAGGAATGTTGTCAGCCAACCATCACCACGCTGCCCCGGATACTGAGTTCCGAGGCTCCTTCCAGATAAAGGCTGGGCCACAGGTACACAGACAGGGGCCGCGGCCCCGCCCGGCTCCACTCCACGGGCGGACGCTGCGAACTCGGCGCTGGAGACCCGGAGAGCTCCGACCGCATGTGGCCAAGCGAAGCAGCACATGTTTTAAATTTAGAAGCTCATATTGATGAGCAATCTGCTGGAATGGTTCAGAGGTACAAATCCGTGGAAAATACAGCACAAATTTCACATGCTTTTCTTGTGAAATTAGTCATTCGATTAATGACACACGGGGCAGCTGGATTCTTGCACAAAACAGAAACCGTAAGAAATATTGCCGGGTTGCCTGTCATGTTCCAGAAACACGTTCTGCTCTTGGGACAGAGTGGAACTGTGTTCAAGGGTCCTCCCAACTCCCTCCAACACGGTCCCCTTCTCAGCTGGAGCCGAACAGCTATTCAACTCCGTAAAGAAATGTCTCCCGAGCCTGTGCTTGGCCAGGGCAGGGCTGCCCGTCCGAGGGGCAGCCAGGCTGGCGGGAAGTGGCCACTCACGTTCACCGGAGTCAGACCCCTCGTCCCTAACTGCGCAGACTGCGCATCCTCGGCATTTCTACCTTTGCAAGGGTCAGGTGTCAGGGTGACAGGCCCAGGGAAAAGAGGAACAGCCTGACACGGGATGTCCTGGGAAAGGCAGCGCCCCCTGCAGGCCCCTTCCTGCTTCACCAGACATGAGTCTGGGCTGCCCAGGAGAGACAAGGCCCAGACCCACAGGCACGGAATCCAATGAGCTTCACCGAAATAAAGACCAAGTTCCCAGACGAAGGATGGGGAGGACCCCATGGCAGCAGTGTCCTGGGGTCACCCAGGCGCGAAGCGGGTGTTATTTCCCAGGGCCACATTGGACGAGGGCCGTCAGAAAGCTAAGGGGTCGTGCAAGCAGGACATCCTGGCTAACGAAGGACGAGTTCCAAGTTGGAGCAAAGGCAGCAGCAGGACGATTCTCAGGTCAGCGTGTCTCAAGCTCCGTCCTACGGAAGGGGGATTAGCCACAGTGTGTCAGACGCTGGCTGAGGGTGCAGCCACACAGACTGGCCAAGTTGCTGTCCAGCCCAGCTGCCTGGAAAACGGGTTCGGGGAGACTAGGAGGTGGATTCCTGCCCTGTGACTGCTGTCCCAGAGCCACACACCTGGTGGCATAAAACGGCAGAGAAATGGTAAAAAGAAAAGAAAAAGAAAATGATCTAATGCATTATTTTTTTCAAAAGACTAAAACTACAGTAACATAGTCTCCTCCAGTTCCGGAGGGCAGAAGTCTGAAAAGGACACAGGTGTCTTCAGATACGCTGTACAGCCCTGGCCGATTTGGCTCAGCGGTTAGAGCGTCGGCCCGCGGACCAGGGAGTTCCGGGTTCGATTCCCGCAAAGGGCACGTATCTCAGTTACAGTTTGTCCCCAGCCTTGGTTGGGGTTGTGCAGGTGACAACCAATCAATGTGTCGCTTTTACTTCGATGTTTCTCTCTCTCTCTTTCTCCCTCTCTGTCTGAAGATAAATGCACAAAAACAAACAAACACTGTACCTCCCCATCCTGGGAGAGTTCTCAGGGAACAGCCAGAATGTAGATGGAGGTCCCCGGTCCTGTGCCAGAATGGCAGGGAAGGGAGGGTTGGGCTCGCTGTAATTTATCTCCACCTGCTTGGAGGGGGAACCACAGGGGTTACGGTAAGGAACCATGCATACACAGGACACCCCCATTTACAAAAGGCAGCCAGCTCAGTGCTCAGTTGGAGGAAGACACAGCAGGGCTGAGTCACAGGACAAGGGTGAAGCACTGAACTTGAGTCTGAGCATCTTGGCAGCGAAGAAAAAAAGAAAAATGAGTGAAATGACACATTTATTCGTTTATTTTACTGAAAGGAAGCAGACCCATTTGTCTGGAGAGAGAAAATTGTTCATGATACTAGAAAACATGTTTTGTGAATCCTTACAAGAAGAGCTTTGGGAAACTTCAGACACTTTTTAACTTTCTTTTTACTATGGTTTTGCAGAAGGTTTTTAGAAAATATCCTTATGGCTTGCTTTTTACACAAGTCAAATCCTGATGTAAACACGACTGTGCCTGGCTTGAGGACCAACCTCCTTTTTACATAATTCATATTACCCAGGTGCCTGTTGTATGCCAGAATTTTCTTCCAAAATAGAGGTTTAATATTTGAGTATTAAGAAATATATATTACTTGTTATATTAGGTAATTAGAGTATTATGTACTAGAGTATTATATTAGAGTATTGCTCCCCCAAACATAGATTTTATTTTATTTATATTTTTATCCTCACCGGAGGACATTTTTCCATTTTTTGTTCAGGTAGAGTGGGAGGGAGAGAGAGGAACAGAGAGAGAGAGAGAGAGAAACATCGATGTGAAAGGGACACATCGAGTGGCTGCCACTCGCACGACCAACCAGGGCCGGGGACAAACTGCAACCGAGGTACGTGCCCTTAGCGGGAACCGAACCCGGGTCTCTCCGGACCGCAGGTCGACGCTCTAACCGCTGAGCCAAACCGGCCAGGGCTAGATTTTATTTTTTTTAATTAAAAAAATTTTTTAAATGTTTTTATTAATTTTTTAGAGAGAGGAAAGAAGAGAGAGATAGAAATATTGATGTGTGAGAGAGACATCGATCGGCTGCCTCCTGCACGCCCCCCACTGGGGATCGAGCCCACAACCTGGGCATGTGCCCTGACCAGGAATCGAACTGGGACCTCTCAGTCCATGGGCCAATGCTCAGTCTACTGAGCCACACCGGTTGGGCTCAAACATGGATTTTAATATGAAAACATAAGAAGCCACAGCCCGATTCCTGAGTCAACTCCCTTTCTTGGAAGGACATAGTCAGATCGGAGTAGGGCCCATCCTAATTACCTAACTTTGACTTAGTTACCTCTTTAAAGACCCTGTCTCCCAATACTGTCACATTCTGATGTACGGGGAGTTAAGACTTCAACCTATGAATATTGGGGGATGCAGTTCAGCCCATGACCCACCATAACGACCACAGCTGTGAACCAGCTTGGGCTGTTCCCACGTCTTGGCTGTTGTGAAAAAAGCCACAGCGAACCCTGAGGTGCAAAAATTCCTTCGCGAGAGTGATTTCCTTTCCTCTGGGTAAATACCCAGAAGTGGGGTCCCTGGGTCCTACGGCAGCTCTAGTTTTCATTCTTCGAGAAACCTCCATACCGTCTTCCATAGTGGCCGTACCAATGGTGCACAAGGGTTCCCTTTTCCCCACACCCCTCGCCGGCACCTAACCCTTGCCTTTTGATGATGCTGTTCTAACAGGTGAGAAGTGAGGCCTCACTGTACTTTTGATTTGCATTTCCCTGGTGATGTGTGATGCTGAGCATCTTCCCATGTGCTTGTTGGATGCCTATACATCTTCTTTGGGAAGAGGTCTATTCAGATTTTGTGCCCGTTCTGTAAGTGGATTGTTTTTTTTTTGCTGTTGGATACTAAGCCTTATCAGATGTGTGATTTGCAGATTATCTTCTCCAATCCCTCAGCTGCCTTTTCACCTCGTGGGTGGTTTCCTTGCTGTGCAGAAGCGTTTGGTTTGAACAGTCCCACCTGCTGGTTCTGCATTTGTTGCCTCTCCCTGACGTTCTCCGAATCTTCTCTCTGTATGTTCACAGACGACCCTCCCATCACAGACTACATGATCCTCAGCGTCACCAGCAACAGCTTTCAAGTGTCCTGGAGTTTAAACTCCACCCAGAACCGCACCTTCCTTGTGCAAGTTTACAGGGGTGAGGAGCTGCTCAGGAGTGCCAGGACCCAGGGGACAACCCTGGAGGTGACTGGGCTGGAGGCCGGAGTGCTGTACTGGGTGAAGACCGGCTATGAGGCATGTGGGGCCGATGTCACCGCGATGCTGCCTGTCAGGACCGGTAAGGCGCTCGCCTGAATGCCTTGTGTTACCTGTGCGCTGGTCTTTCTATCCCGATTGTTGGCCCCAGAGATGCAAATTGGTGCTCTTCTTCTAAGTAGGCAGGGGCAGGCACGGCCGCGGCCCGCCATCCTGATGGAGCCCTGGGTTCTCCGTGTGCCCTGAACAGTGTCATGGTGGTCATGGCCATCACGGGCTCCTCGCTCCCCTCCTGCAGGCATTGAAAGACCCTCTGTCACACTTAACTCGCAGGGCTGAGTGTGTGTAAATTCCCCGAACCCAGACCTGAGCACCACACCAAATCTCCACGAAGCCTGCCGCATTCCCCATGTGATACACTGCCGAGCTGATGCCTGCGCCCAGCGGGAAAGAACCTTTTCCCCGAACACCGCGTAGCAATGAGCTGGGAAGTCTGGTCCAGAGGCAGCTGGCATGCCATGGGGCTCTGCCAGGTGGCTGGCGTTTCTCCTGGCCCGAGGTCCGAGCTCCCCTCTGCCTGGTCACGGTGGTACCTCGGTGGTGCAGGCCTCGATCTTTTTTCTTATTTTCCCTCAAAGAATAGGCTTTACCAAAAACATTGGCAGAAAACCCTATGACGTTAGCTCACACGGTTCCAGCTAATGTGCGTGATTGTCCATCTCAGAGGCCCGTGTGTTTGGAGTCACAGTGAGGATCCTGGACCGCACCATGACCGAGGCGCTGCAGAACCGCAGCAGCCCTGAGTACCGGGACTTCTCCCGACAGCTGCTGCACGAGGTAAAGCCAAGGGCAGGCACAAGCCAAGGGCAGGCACTGTGAGCTCGCCTTCAGGTTCCGAGCGAGGAGTCTGCACATGTCACTACTCAGTGCCTCCCCCTCCCTCTTTATGGGGTACTTACTCTTGATTTGGAGGCAACCCACCTTTGAAATACATGCCTTTGATTCAAATGGTCTGCACCACTTGATCCTGCAGTTAGGTTTTCTGTCAAACTTCCATCCAGGGCATTGGGGGGGGGGGGGGTCTTCCCACTCCGGAGCAGCTTTATCTATCAAGAAAGCGCTGGCCAGGGACCAGGCATCCCTCCCCCCTCCCCGCGGCTACTGCGGGACAGCAGCACGCAGCTTGGGAGAGCCAGGCCTGTGGTGAATACCCTCTAGCCTCAGATGATAAATGGGAGGAAAAAGTATTTGATAAGTTGTCAAGAACTATGAAAGGTCTAAGATTTTACCCTTCTTGCAAACTAATAAGTTAGCCGATTCCTGCTGCCTGGATGCTGGCAGAAGACACGAAGTCCTGGATCAGAGACAAAGGACTTGATTCCAGCACGGCAGGCACCGAGCCTCACACTGGTTCCCGTTCTCTCTCTGGCCCCCAAGTTCCACAGGGCAGGCTCAGGGAGGCCCAGGTGGGTGACGCCCACACAGCAGGTCTGCATCGCAGCGGAGGACCCCCAAGCTTAGGGAGCCTGAACCTCCGTGGCAGGCTGTGAGCAAGCCAGCCTAGACCTTTTGCCGTAAAGAGACATTACCTTTATTGTACCAGACAGTGGACAAATCTGCCCCTTTCTGAGGGGCCACGATGTCTCTCCCCCAAGGCTGTTCGTCATGCAGACATCTGGGGAAGATATTCTGAAGCAAGAGGGTAGTTCGTGCTTCTACCTGCAAAACTGTAGAAATGCAAGAGACCGAAGGAGGGTTGTCTCTCCACATCCCCCTACAGGGAAAATTGGTTTTTAAACGTCCTTAGAGAACCCCCTCTTCCTTCCAGTGGTGTTGGCATGTGTGCAGGAATCGTGGGGCAGGAAAGTGGGGCGCGCTGCTTCCTCTGCTCCTGCCGAGCTGACCCTGAGCCCCTGGCTCTGCCCGTGTGTTTCCTGGGGGATACAGCCTGTAAGTGGGGGGCAGCGTCAAATAGCTACGAGGTTGTTCCTCGGTGGCCCCCTCGGTCAGTCAGTCCATCCATCAGTCAGTCCAACAGTCCCTTTGTCTCCCTCACACAAGTTACCTTCACACCAGTTTTCAGGGCACCCAGAGCGCATTGCATACCTCACGCTCCACGACAGGGGGGCTGACTGTGACGTCACTGTGAGTTCTCGCAAATGCGCAGTCCACCGTCCCAGGGGGAAGGCAGGTGGGGTGCCGTGAGCTGGGGGCACCTCTGCTTGCCCCAAGAGGTTGGTTGCTGGGTGCCTCTTCTTGGTGGTGAAGGAGACACATGGATTCTGTACCCCATCTGTCAGCTGCACCTGGGGCCCTGCTTAAAGGTTTCAAAGCTGTTGATGGAAACTCTGCTCTAACCAGTGGCTGTTGCCTCTCCCTGGCCAGGTCGAGAGCGCCTTCCCGCCAGCGGTGTCTGACTTGTACAAAAGAGGGAAACTGAGGCTGCAGATCGTGTCTCTCCAGGCCGGAAGCCTGGTCGTGAAGCTCAGAGTGACGGTGCAAGACCCCGAGTTCCCAGTGGGTGTCTCCACGCTGGCCCCCATGCTCCCGAGGCTGTGTGCAAGCAGAGTGTTCCAGATTGACCAGAGGGGGACATTAGTGCAAGGTAGGGTCACCTCTCTACACCCCGGGCGTGCCACCAAGGTGCCCTCTAATGCCTCTGCTACAGTGTTTCGGGTCAACAGCGACTTCATTCCGAAAGAGAGATGAGGTCAATGAAGTTCGAATCCTTATTCTGTATCACTCCATGGAAACCGGGGCCTAGGGTCGCAGCCCCAGAACAGCGAGCCCACCTGCCACTCACACTGTTGTTCCAGAAGGGAGAAGGGACCCAAAGAGCCTTGTCCCCTCGGAGGGTGCCTCTCGGCTGCCACAGGCCCAGAGCTCAGGGTGGAACGGGCTGCAGGGCCCACAAGGGGCAGAGGACGAGAGCCCCCGGGTCAGTGTCAGGACCACGCACCGCCTGGCCACTGTGTGACTCAGCGCGGGTGGTTTCGTCCGGCCAGGTGCGTGTAATTTCACTCGGTACTGCCTTGCGGCAGGAAGTCACAGATCAGGAATGAGGGAGAGAGGGACAGAGACAGAGAGATGAGGGGGACAGGGGAAGGTAAGAGGTAGACCGAGTCAGAGGTAGAGACAGAAACACCAAGAGACAGATGGGGACTGGGGAGGTGAGACAGAGACAGAGTGTGTGCTGGCGGGTAAGGAAGCTTTGTCTTCAAACACGGAGATAAAGTTCCCTCGTGTAGTGCGGGCACCGCAGTGTCTGCATCGACGAGCCTGGTTAAGGCTCAGTGTGTGGAATGGGCGCCCCTGAGCCCCGGTGCAGCTGGGTCCGAGAATGAGCTCTTTCCTGCTTGCTGTCAAACCTCCCCCGCCCAGCAAGGCAGGGAGGCCAATGGGGTGCCACACTGAAGTCACACCTGCCTGCTTAGCCGGGGGTGGCTGTCACTCAGCCCCTCAGAACGGAGGGCAGCGGCTCTCTGCACCTGGCCGGCGCGGGCCTGCTGCGGGTGGGTCCTCAGCCTGCGCCCCCAGGCCCACCCGAGACCAAGCAGGAGCCATCTGCTGGATCACCAGCAGCCCTTCAGCACCCTGCCCGCGTGCCCTTGTGCCCCAGGGCTTAGGTCATTCCAGATCTTTGCCAAGTGGTGCGGTGGTGGAAGGGCAGCCTCCAAGAGCTCTGCACACAGAGCTTCAGAAGGGTCCGTGTGCAAGAAGGGTCTTTGCAGGTGTAATTAGGTAGGATCTGGGATCATCCTGGATCGGGGCGGGCCCTAAATCCAGTGACAAGGGTCTTTAGAAGAGATGGAAGCGAACACACGGAGACAGGACACAGAGAAGAGGCCACCTGAAGACGGTGTGGTGGCTGCAAACCAAGGAACCACGGAGCTTTCAGAGGCTGGAGGGAGAGAGCCCTCCCCTGGAGCCCTCGGAGCGAACCCGGCCCTGCCGACACCCGGAGTTCGGACTCGAGAACCGTGAGAGATGAGTTTCGTTGTTTTGAGCCGGTTTGAAGACTTGTGGTCACGTGCAGCCTGGGAAACGCAGAGGAGAGGAGGGTCTGGCAGGGCGGACGGACACGGGAGCGTTCTCGCAGGTCGTTTGCGAGCATCCCCAGCCGTCCCAGAGGCCCTGGAGAGCGGAGCCTGCAGCGGTCCTGCCAGACAGGGAGCTGTTTGTGGAGCGAGTCGGAGCTGGGGGGCGGCTGAAGGCCCCCCTGCAGGCACCTGCCCTTGACCCTGGACCAGGAGGCCTCGGGCTGCTTGTTGGCAGGGAAGGTGTCCTGCCCGTGCAGTTTTCTGACCCAGTTACTACTGGCTTCTGACACCAGAGCCCGCAGGACAGGCCCTGGGCCCAGCCCCCACTGGGGAGCACGGGCCTGAGCCCGTGAGTGGGGAAGGCGTTCTTCCCTCCCAAGTGCCCTCAGCCCGCAGCCCGGGAACAGGGACACAGACATTTGTTGCCGCTCTGCAGAAAAATCGACACACAAAGGCCACCACCATGCCAGCTGGGCAGCCACCGTTTCTGTGGGCGTCAGGACGGCCTAACCGTGCTCCCCACAGGTTCCAGTCGGCCGCACACCCCGACAGCATGGCAGCCACACAGGCCCTTTCTGTCCCCTTTCAGGCAGCGGAGAAGGGGCAGAGTAGAGGGAGCCTGGCCCTGGGACGGTCGCCGTCCGCCCGGTCGGCCGGCATGGGCTTTCTTCCCCACGTTCAATGGTGCTGCCTTTTGTCCGGCTTCTGGGCGTGGTGCCAGGAGAACGAGGTTCTCTGGACCCGCTTCGCCCTCACGTGTGAACCTGGTGCTGTCCCCCAGGCGAGAGGAGGCCTCTGGCGCACACGTCCCCTTGAAGGGCACCTGGGCCACAGCTTGGGGCCTCGAGAGGAGCCTGCCCCTTCTGGGACCCAGAGGCCTGGTTTGGGGCCTCCCCAACTCGTTCCTGGGTGGGGGCACCTGTGTCAGGAGCCGAGCTTCGCTGTGGCTGGTGGGAGGTGGGCCACGCCCTCGGCCCAGCCTCAGGGCCAGCCGGAGCCCCCACAGCTTCCTATGTAGGGCTCCTGCCCGTGTCCCCCGTGTCCTCGTCCGGCCAGTCCAGGAGGTGCAGAGGCCACCTGGCCTCCCCAGCTGCCCGCACACCCGCCGCCTCCCTCTGAACCGGAGAACTGCTGGCCTTGGGCTGTGGTACAAGGCCACATGCAGCTGTGCCCACCTTACGTGGGCTGGCTGGTAGGCTGCGTGCGGGGGACCGAAGGCCAGGGAGTCACCAGCACTGAAAACAGCCACCAGGTACTCTGCAGTGGAGCCCAGATCTCGACTGGGCCCTCCCTCTCCTCAGGGCCCTGCTGCGGGGCCAGCTGTGCTCTGGCCCCTACTCCAGCCTCCCAGCACCCTGGAGCTGCCTGTAGGCTGGAGGATGGGCAGGCATCCAGGAACATCTGGGGGCCGGGCCAGCAGGGCCCTGTCTGCAAAAGAGCCGAGGCTCATGTGGGGGGTGTGTGTGTGTGTGTGTGTGTGCACGCGCACACTCGTGTAAGTGTTGCATCAGCTGATGAGTGAGCCTCCCTGTCCCTGGGGAGCTGTTTCCATGAAAAGCACATGAAAAACCGAAAACCACAAAGCAGGCCTCTGCGCCCTCAGCTGCAGTCTTCTCAGCACAACACTGAACTCATCCCTTATCTTGACTTGAAGCCCAGCCAAGCCCAGCCCCCCCGGCACACTGGGCCTGGACCAGGCATTGAGCCCAGGCTCCAGGGAGGCGCGTGCAAATGGACCTCACAGTCCACCCCCACTCGGGGAATCCAGTACCCTCCTGGGGCCCCAGCTTGCCCTGCTAGCAGGGGTGACCCTCTTTAGAACCACCTGTTTCCCGGGGGAAGGGGAGGTAGGACAGGTAGTGAGGGACCCAAAGAGCTGGGTCTGGGCTGAAAGATGGAATTCTAGAGGTGTGGGAAAACTGCCCCACCCCAGCTTGTCCCCGCTGGGAAAACAGTTTGAGATATTTGTTCCTTTAGGATTATCATACTTACTGCATGTAGCACTTTACTGGTTAGTCATCTGTCAAAATGCACAACACCATCAGATTCTCTCTCAAAGCAGGTACGGGAGTAGGGGTCCAGAAGAGGGCGGGGGGAGGGCGGGAGAAGGAGAAGGGAATGGTGTTCTCTAGGAATTTTGGTTTTCAGTTTGGCCTAATGCAGTTCCTGGCTGCTGGCTGATTGGAAAAGGCAGGGCTGGATTGGGGGGGGCGGTCGGTGAGCCAGGGCTGGGGGCCGCTGGGGCCTGTTACAGGGATGGGGGCTTGCCCAACACTCTTCCTTGCCCAAATAGAGGGGCCAGCGCTTCCTGGCGACGTGGGTCTATGGACTTTCTCCAGAGGAGGTGCTCAAGGGCCATTCCCACCCACGTCAAGGAAGCTCATGTATACTTAACTGGGCATCTGGCTCAGTCATTTGCCTCCTATTTCTTTCTCGAAACAGTAAATATTAGGGGATCTTGGCACATCACAGAGAGTTGGGTCTGGGAACAAAGAATAAACAAGGAAGAAATACCTTTGCACCTGTGGGTGCTAATACCTCCAAAGTAGCCAACATCCCTAACCCTTGCCCCGCATCAGCAGCCAGCGGTGGGGGTCAGCGCAGGAGGGCTCGGCTGGTGGCCTCAGTTCAGGTTCGGCGTCCATCCCGGGGAGGTCTGTGCAGGGCCCCTCCCAAGGGTGCTGGACGCAGGGGCGCACCCCTTGCTCCTGGCGCCGTCCCCGGGCTGCTCGCTGCAGACAGCCAGGGACAGCTCCGCGGTCCCTTCGCCTTGTCCGCACTGGCTGCTGTCCTGTCTCCCGCCGGCAGACTGGGACGAGTGTGCGGACAGCCTGGAGCATGACTGCTCGCCGGCCGCCCAGTGCGTCAACCTCGAGGGCTCCTACACCTGCCGCTGCCTGACGGCCCAGGACGCCCGCCCCGCCCGCGCCGGCCGGGCCTGTGCAGGCGAGTCCTCCCCACCCTCCCCAAGCGCTGGGCCGTGCCCCCCTCTCCCCCGCCCCGGGACTGGCTGTGGGGCACACCACCTCCCATCAGGCAGGATGGGCACAGGGCTGAGGGCCCACCGTTTTGTTAGGAACCCACAGAAATGCTCTCATTTTAATTTTTTTAATCAAAGAAACGAATATAATAATAGTGAATGTCAATAATGAATCTAATTTTTATTCCAGTGCAGTTCTAAAATACAATTTTTAATTTTTTATGGCTAAGAGGGTTCGGGTAAGTCATCATGCAGCCTCCAAGAGAGGATCCCTCCAGGCGGCCAGGAGCCCGAGGCTGCAGAAGCCTAGGAAAGTGTGGAGAAGGCCCTGATGTGGGGCCAAAACATCTCCCTGATTTTTGGGGGGCTGGCTCTGATTGAGGGGTTGGGGCTACCCGAGGGCCGAGGTGAGAAGCAGGAGGAGGCCCCTGCAGACGCCCAGTGCTGTGGCAGGCTGGCCATGTCTGCCCTGGACGCGGGGTGGGCATGGACGCTCAGCCCCTTACTGTCCCGGCTGAGCTCCGGCTGGGAGCCGGGCAGAGTGTCCCCAGGGAAGGCACTCTGTTCCGGCCCGTGTCCGTGGTCCCGCCTCCCCACGCGCGCAGAGCGTCTCTCCTCCCAGCTTCTTAGTCAGGGCCCAGCAGCCCCGCACCACGCCCCGCCCTGAGCGTACACGTGAGGGAACTGCTGGATGGAGTCATCTGAACCTGTAAGAACCAAGTCCCGGGTCTGCAGTCCCCCAGGGGGACCTCGCTCTTGGGGTCTCAGCGTCTTCATTTATTTATTTATGTTAATCCTCACCCGAGGACATTTTTGCATTTATCCTCAGATAGAGCGGGAGGGACAGAGGGAGGAAAAGAGAGAGAGAAACCTAAATGTGAGAGAGACACATCGCGTGGTTGCCACCCACATGACCCCAACCAGGGCTGGGGACAAACTGCAACCGAGGTACGTGCCCTTAGCGGGAACCGAACCCGGAACTCTCTGGACCACGGGCCGATGCTCTAACTGCTGAGCCAAGCCGGCCAGGGCAGCGTCCTCATGTATTAAGTGGAGAGGCTCCTCCTGACCCTCCATGAGTCGTTTGGGTAACGACCACACTAAACATTCATAGTCACTGAGACAGTCTGTCTTCCCACTTGGAGTCCACCTGGGGGGCCCTTGCTCGTGGGTGGCATCTGGGGCTTTGCTCTCTGTTTTTGAGAATGGCTGTGTCCCAGCAGGTGACCTGGTGAGCCCCACAGTAGGTGCGCTGTCCCTGGCGACAGGGCTAACAGCCCCAGCTCTCAGCACAGAAATAGCTCTTGGCCTGGAGACCCCTGCCTTGTCACCCAGCCCCGGGCATCTTTGGGGCACCCCTGCAGCAGGCCAGGCCCAGACCCCAGGGCCCCCGCCCAGGAGAGGGGACAGTGGCGTGGTCGGACAGGACAAGAATGGCACAGAACAAGGTGTGGAGGAGGTGCCCAGCAAGGCCCCAGGTCTGGGGACAGGCCAGTGGATGACCAGCAGGGCTCCCAGACCAACCCTCAGCACCCTTCCTGGGGCCATGGACGGCCTGCTGGACCCTCCTGGATGGATGCTGAGCAACTCCACTACAGAGCCACACGCCTGGCCCACCCCTGCTGAGGGCCCCGTGGGCCATGGGTGGCATGCCAGCCTTCCCACGTGGGGCACATCGCCAGCACCTCTGGACCCCACATGGCCGAAGGACACAGACCCTGGACACTCCAGCTCCCCAGACCTGCCCTTGGCCTCCACCCTCTCGTCTCTGAAGACCCCAGCCTGTGGTGAGTGCCTGGAAGGACGTGTCCCAGGGACGGGGACCACGTGCTCAGCTTGAGCGCCAGTGGCAAGGGCTCGTGGGCTGTCGGGTCAGACCCCTCCTAGGGACACTCAGGTGGATTTCCCGTTTCAAGGCTTGGCAAGCGGAGGTGCAGATCAGCCCTGTCCCTGGCGGCTGACTTCTGGTCTGGTTAGGACGGGAAGTTATTTTCCGTGTTCTCTCCAGCCCTTCCTCCCCCTTCCGAGGCCTCCCGTTTGCCAAGCTGGAGCAGGAATTCGGGCGTCTGGAGGAGACTGCGGGGCACATGTGTCACCACGAGCACTGGGGCACATCCCCCAGCAGTGTTGGACCCCCCTTTATTTCCGCGCCAGCTGTGCAGTCCCAGATGTGCTGACCCCAGCAGTTCCTCATTACATGTAGAGGGTTCAGCCTTCGCCACAGCCCCTGGTGACAAGGCCTGGCCGGGCCAGCTCCCACAGGGGGCCACGCTGGCATCTCTGTGAGCCCTCTGAGCTGGCCCGACTCTGGATGGCACGTGCCAGTTGCCACTAAATGCATTCCCTCTGCTGAGACGTGCATGTTCCAGGACTAAGTTGCTAAGCCGGCGTAAACCAGCTCTGGGGAGTGCCCCGGTCCTCCTGTAAGAATGGCTCTGTAGCCAGCGATGGCCACCATGTGAAAAGTCTACCCAAAAGTATCCCCTCTGGAGGAGCCGCCCACAATCTGCTCATGAGGCCTTCGTTTTGGGAAGTGTGGGGACCTCAGAGGCAGACACCAAACCGAAGGGGCAGGGCTGCTGTCCAGGGAGCCTGCACCCATGTGCTCTGTTGGTAGCAAGGGGGCTTCATGGGACTTCCCTGGGCTGGCGTCCCCTAAGGATGTCTCACGTCCCCAGCAGTGCCTTTGATTTTAGCACAGGGCGAGTCTTGGCCTTTCGTCTCTCCTCTGAACGCTTGTTTTTAACTTCGGCATTTGTATCCACTTCCCAGTTCCCGCCCCCATCAGAAGGGTCACGATTTCCAACGTGACCAGCACCGGCTTTCATGTGGCATGGGTGGCAGATCTCGCCCTGCACCCCACTTTCCAGCTCACCCTGACGTCCATGCGGAGCCCTGCCGTGCACCTGGAGACCTGGAACACAAGCCTGCAGCTGTGGGGCCTGGAGCCCGGTGTCTTGCACCTGGTTGAGATAGTGGCCAAAGCATGTGGGAAAGAAAGTGCCAGGGCACACCTGAAAGTGAGGACAGGTAAGGGGTTGCAGAAACGCTAATGGCCATTTGTTCTTTAAGGGAGGGAGAATGTATGAAAAAGATTTTTCGTTGGGTCAAGGTTTGAAAGAACTGCATTCACCTGTGGGCGGGCTGCTGGGTTTCCATTGGCTTCTCAGTGTAGAAACATTTGGCTCACTCCCTACTCAGCTGGCATGGGACAGCCAGACAGAAGGTGGCTCATTTTGGGAGAAGGTGTTGGGTGGATGTTGCAAAGAGCTCCAGACTCTGCCACAAGGTCGTAGACACTTGCTGGCCTGTGTCCTCCATGTGGGAAGATGTGGGTGGTGCAGGTCTATGGAGTGTCCTCGGTTCCTTCTGGTCACTCACTCTCAGTGGACCTGGATGTGGTTTTCAGGAAGAATGACAAGAAGCAGATGGACACACAGCAGAGCTGTGAATGGCCGCCAGAGCCTGGGGCTGCAGAGTAAAGGGATGGGAATAGAATCGAGCAAGTTGCAGCAGACTCTGATAAGGCGGCTGATGCTGACCATAGTCAAATATCCAGATAACTCCCCTCTTTTCTCCTCTTCGGCATTTATCAGCCAGATATTTTCTTGAATGTCTAACTTCCCTAAGCAGCCGAAGGTGGGCCTGATGCTGCAGGTTAGTTCTCATGTCTTGGGCAGTTGTTGGGGAGTCGATGGTGGTGGTCTCCAAGGCACCGTGCACACCCTTGGGGATGCTTAAGGTGACCTACAGGGATGCAGTCAGAAAGGTTTAGAATTTTTGTTTGTATATTTAAAGTTCTAGCCTGGCTGGTGTGACTTAGTGGTTGAGCACCGACCCATACACCAAGAGGTCGCTGGTTAGATTCCCAGTCGAGGCACATGCCCAGGTTGTGGGTGAAATCCCCAGTGGGGGCATGTAGGAGGCAGCTAATTGATGTTTCTATCTTTCTCTCCTTCTCCCTTCCTCTCTAAAAATCAATACAGAAAAAAATAAAATAAAATAAAGTTTTAATTAGTCATGGCCTGAGAAACAGAGAAAAGGTGTTCAATGACACTACTGTGCAAATGTGGAAGCTGGAGAAGGGGAGGTCACAGCTGGCTGCACCTCAGGCCGGGCGGCCCTTGGGCTGCACCCATCTGGCTTGTGAAGGTCTCCCCCCTGGAGGGAGGACTGCCAGCGCCCGCAGGGGTCCGCATCTGCCCTCCCCTGCGCACCTGTTCTGCCCCCGATGGCGTTTCGGTCAGGCCTCGCGCTCCAGCTGCCCTGAGTCTGGACCCGTGGACCGCAGACGCGGGGGGCTGAGGGGCGAGGGCAGCTGACCGGTCAGGACCTCTGGGCGCTCTGTCGCAGGCAAGGGCTCTGAGCAGAGGTTTGGCAAGGCCTCCGGTGTGCACCTGGGCTCTGGCACAACCACTGCTAGTGGCCCCTTTTACTGTCAGAGTGCCCGCTTGCTGGCAAATCACCTGGACACGCTAAGCACAGGTAACAACACAGGCGGGGAGCAGAGAGCTGCAGCTGGGCTGGTTCCAGGGCCTCCGGAAGGCCCTTCCCCTGTGCCCAGGCTTTGCCCTGGTGTCCTCCACTCTGGTGGGCTGTACCTGTGAGTGTCGAGCACGGTCCCTTCTTTGTAGAGTCCAAGTCAACCTGGTTTGATGTTCTTCCCGGCCAACATGAAAATACAGTTACTAAGATAGACGTGATCATCTGTCTCCTGACACATTCTTGTTCCAAACATGTTTATTCTCCGTCCCGCAGCTGCCCAGAAGCTCAGCGGTAAAGTCCGAGTAGCAAACGTCCAGTATTCCGAATCTTTCCGCAACGCCAGCAGCAGGGAGTCCCAGGATTTCCTGGAGCTGTTCTTCCGGATGGTGAGTGGGTGGGAGTCCGTATTTCCTCGGAGGATGTGAGGCAGGGAGGCGGGGGGAGCCCTAGCTGCCGCCACGCAGGATTAGGCCGCCGGTGCTGAGGTCTCCTCTCCGAGGGAAGCGGGGATCCCCGGCTCGTGCGTGGCACCTGGGCGTCCCTGCACCTGCCACTAAACAGACACGTCAGGGGATGGGAGACACACCTTTCCTCGGTGGCACCCTTCCTCACACCATTTCCTGTTCAGTGCAACTTCGAGGTGGGACCCCTGGACACAGAAAGCCCCCACTTGCCTTCAAAGGAACATTTTGTTAAAAAATTGATTTTCCAGACCACAAAATTCAGATTTTTAAGTGTACGGTTCAGTGGTTTGGATTGGATGGTATTTGCCAAATTGTCACCACCTTCTAATTCTAGAACATTTCATTACCTCCCCCCAAACCCTACTCAGTAGTCACTTTCTAGTCCCCCTTCTCTCTGCCCCTGGCAACCACTAATGTGCTTTCTGTCTCTATGGGTTTGCTTGTCCTGGGCTTTTCATAGAAAACGAACCATACACTGTGTGATCATTTGTGTCTGGATTATTTTGCTGAGCATAAAGTCTTCAAGGTTCGTCCGTGTCGTGGCAGTATCAGGACGTCATTCCTTTTAATGTCTGAGTAATATTCCGTCGTACAGATGGACCACATTTTGTTTATCCTTTTCCTCACTGATGGACGCTGGGTTGTTTCCAGTTCGGGGCTCTTGTGAACAGTGCTGCCATAGCCCCTACCGTAAACATTATTTTCCTACTCTTCCTTGCACGTCCTTTCCTCCGCCATCCAGTTAGCATTCTTTGGGATGGTGTGTTATTACAACCTAGTCAGGGTAGCAACCTCAATATTCTTTTTGATGGAGATTAGATTACTCTTTGATGAACAGAGAACACACTTGTCATGATCTAACGATCTTCTTGGCAGGGGGCAGATCTCATGTAGTTAGCTTTTCCTTATTCTGGGTGTTGAAGACACAGAAATAGCTGGGGTTTGGCAGCGCCATCTAGTGGTGGAGTGTGATGACATGATGGCGCCTTAGCAGTGCAGGTGACCTCACTTTTATTCATCTGTCAGCATCACTTGGTGACGAAATGGTCATGAGAACTGTCCACTGAGGCTGCTCAGCATCTGGGATTTTACATTATTCATCCTGGGACCCTCAGCACCTGGCCCAGCTCGTGGATTCCAGAGTGTTTGTGGTTTGCTTCGTTCGATGAAGCTACACTGATATTAAGCAAACACCGAAATCAACCCACATCGCTCTCGTGGTCACCCTGAGTTTCTTGATTAATCTTTCCTGTTTAAACCATTTCTTCTTTGACTGATTTTTGGGGACAGTTTTTGTTTGTTTGTCCAGAATTTCAGGATAGCAAATAAGTGTGCCACATATCTCATGGAGGACTTTAAGAATAATTTGGGGAAGTTGTGGGTTAATTCAGCACCTTGTTCTTTGTGACTGCCTAGCAAGGAGCTTGGAGCTTGGTTTGAAAAGCAACTAAAGGTGAGATTAATCCAAGACTGTGACATCCCTCTTAGGAAGTCCTAGAAGAACAAAAGAGACACAGGCAGAGGAAGAAAGAGATGGATGGATGGATGGATGGATGATAGATGATAGGTAACAACTAACTGTTTAAACGATAATAATATCAGCTGTGTGACTGCAGGGAGCTCCTGTTTCTCTGGGCCTCTGTAGCCTCTGATGGGTGACAATAGACTTCCTCGGTTGACTGTCCCGAGGCTGGGAAGGGATCCTGTGCCTTGAGCACCTCACACCGTGCAGAGGAGGCTGGCGCTTCCTCCGTGAGGGCAAAGCCTGGAGGTGCAGGTTCCCAGAGACGATCCCCATCGCACGGACTCCTTAAAGCTCACTGCTATGTCCTGTCTTCTTGGCATTTCGGCCACGATGGGCCAGGCGTGAGCGACACTGTGCGTGGTGTAAGGTGCTATCCAAAGTGACAGAATAAAAACAAGGCTTTCACAAGCAGGCAAAGCCTGTCTCAGCAGGGGTGTTCACAGGGAAGAAGTTTTGGAAAGAAGGGAGGAAGAATAGAGGGGAAATGTGTCATATCAGGAACAAAATGATTGTTCTAGAAGAGACAACGTGAGGAAGGCGTGCCCCCCCTCCCCATAACAACTCATCCAGCCCCCTGCCCCCATGCTCTGAGCTGCTGGGTGCTGATCGGAGCACCGCTGTGAGTCCCCTACCTACCAAGTGATAAGCTCCCACGGTGGGGCTTTTGCACCCAGCTCGTACGGACCAGCCGGCTAGGGGCGAACTCGGCTCTCCACAGTATCGCAGACCCGAGGCGCTGGACTGGGCCCAGAGCTGACCTGTGGCTCTGACCTTTCTGCCAAGGCCAGCCCTGCTGCTGGCTGCAACCCCAGGAGAAGCCACCTTAGGACAAGTACCCGTCCCTCTCGGCAGCTCTTCTCACCAGCTCTGCTTCGCCGCAGGTGAGGGAGTCCTTGTCACCCCCCATGCGTCAGCACCTGGACACCGGTGGGGTGCGGGTGGAAGTGACCAGCATCACCAACGGCAGTGTCGTGGTGGAGTTTAACCTGTTGATTGTCGCGGACTTGGCCGTCCAGGAGGTGTCTGCCGCGTTCCGCTCCGCCTTCCAGAACACCTCTCAGCTGGAGGTGGCCGCAGGGGACGTCTTCATATGGGGTACGTGGACGCCGGGCCTGACGGAGGCTCCCTGGGTGGAAGGAGAGGCAGCGAGTGCCCGCTGCTGCCTTCGTTTCTGAAAGATGGGCTCCATGTGCTTCTCTCGGGCTCTCTACGGCTACTCTGTTGTTGTTTTTATTTAAGGTTTAAGAGTTGGGAACAGCCTCTGGTGAACCTGCAAAGATCCCCAGGGTGCTGCTCCCTTGTCGCAGCCCGCGTCCTGCCCCCGCCCCTCCTCCGTGCCCGTTTCCGGGGGCCGAGGGCAGCTGCGTCCCTCTGGCAGCCAGACTTCCTCCCAAGCGCAGTTGCCAAGGAGATCCCAGTGAAAATAACTGAAAAGGGAAGCAGGAGGGATGGCAGCTCAGATTCTTTTCTCATATGGCCGTATCTGCGGCGGCTCAAGCTGTCATAACAAAATACCACCGACCGAGTGGCTTAAACAAGACGTTGATCTCGGTCCTGGAGGCCGGAGGCCCCAGGTCAAGGTGCCAGCTGACTTGGTTTCTGCTGAGGGTCTGCTTCCTGACCCAGGTCCTTCGGAGCGCTCCGAGGTGTCTCTCCTTATAAGGACATCAATCCCATCCGATCAGGACTCCACCTGCATGGCCTCGTTTAGCCCTAATTACCTCCTAATGGCCACATCTCCAAACGGGGTGGGGGGGTGGCTTCAACAGGTGAACTTTGAGGGGGCACAGTTCAGTCCATAGCACTGTCCTATTTGAAAATAAGTGAAAAGGGGCTTATCGTTACATGCATTAAAAAGTCAAAGACAACACAGGTGAAGATTTTTCTGATATTTTTTGGAATGAGAAGGGATTTCCAAGTTTGGAAGCAGAGGGAAATCAAGCCCACAGAAGAAAGGGCTGGACTATTTGACTCCACACAAATGTGAATCTTTTATGTCAAACAAAATACAGGCACCAGTATAAATCAAGCAACAAACCACAATATAATTTGATGAAGAATTATACCCTAGATAGAGAGATAGAGATCACATATATGGATAATAAAATACTAAGAACCTTGATAGATAAATGCAGGAAAGTCTCCAATGGATAATATATGGAAGAAGAAACATAAATGACTAACAAAAATGAAATATCCAAGGATATTCCCACTAAATGAGTTGCTCTTCTTCCTCGTCTATGAGCAATTTAAAAAAAAATGATGACACAGCCCTGGTCCATGTGGCTCAGTTGGTTGGGTGTCGACCCATAAACCGAAAGGTTGCTGGTTCGACTCCTGGTCAGGGCACATGCTGGGTTGCAGGCTCAGTCCCCACTAGGGGGCGTGTAGGAGGCAGCCGATCAATGTTCTGCTCTGACATTGATGTTTCTCTCTCCCTTCCCCTCTCACTCTAAAAAAATTAATGAATAAAAATATTATTTAAAATGATAATACTGATGAACGTGTAGTGAAGCTGGGAATAGAATTAGCTCCTGCTCCCTGTAAATCAACTTGACAATATTCATCGAGAACTTTAAGAATGTCCCTCCACCTTGACTTTGGAAGGTCACTTCTTGGACTCCATCCTACGGAAACAGGTCATAGTTGGAACCCACCAAGGCCACAGAGGTATTTACCTTCAGTGTTTCTTTAAAAGGAGAAGTTTGGAAATCACCCATAGTTTCAAAACAGGGAAAATGGAAGGTCGGTTGTGGCGTATCCCTGCCACAGACTGTTATGCAAGGATTAAAAATGAGGTTTGCTGAGACAGAAGGTATTCCTGACGAAAGGTTAAGTAAGGGGAGAATGCGGGACTCACATTTGCGAACAGAACACGATCTCAGCTCTGTCACTGTCTGCACTTAAAGGACTGGACGGGATACATAGCCCCGCGGACACTGCTGTCCTGGGGAGGTGACCTCAGGGGTGGGTTTTATGTTCTTTGCTAAGCTGTTCTGATTTATAGCCATTTCTTCGGTAAACCTGCATTACTGTTAATGAGCGAAGAAACTGAGAGAGATGAAAAGCAGGTGGGCTGTCTTGTCGCTGGGGACCCTCTGCCCGAGCCCAGGGGTTGGGGGGGGAGCTGCTCACCTCCTGGCTGCTCTGATGTGACCTGCTCTGCCCAGCACCTGCCCCCGCCCCAGACCAGGGTCCCTCCTTCTGGAACAGCCCCTGCCGCCTTCCTGACCCCACCCCCACCCCATCCCTGTCTCCGGAACTCTCCAGAACTGGCCATCGTTGTTGTCGCTGATAATGTTCCCCTTTCCCCAGAGGCTCTTCCTAGGCTGGCTGCCTGGCCGGTACGGTGCCCCTCTGGCCGCGACCCTCCGGCGCGCTCAGTTCTCCTTTGTTCTCTGACCGGCGCACAGATTACGACGAGTGCGAGAGGAGGGAGGACGACTGTGAACCGGGCACATCCTGTCGCAACACCCTTGGGTCTTTCACGTGCAGCTGTGTGGGCAGAGCCCCCGACTTCCCTGTAGAATATTCGGGAAGACCCTGTGAAGGTAATATCCTCGCTGTCCTGTTGCTGGAACATTGTTGGATAATCTGTTCTTTTAAAAGAGTCCAAGTGCTCCCTTTCCAAATGAGCTTGGCCCGTTTTTATGTCCTGGGCAGGTTCCTAATGTGTGTGTGTGCTATGTGAGTGGGTGTGTGTACATGTGTGTACATGTGTGTGCGTGCTGTCCCTTCACGTTCTCCCCTGTGTCCCCAGCCTTCTGGGTGGTGCCTCATATCCCCAAATGCTTCTTCTGATCGTGAGATGAGAAAACACACACATGAACTCAGAGGTGTTCTCTCAGACGCTAAAAGATGATCTTGCAAAATGCACAGCTCACGGGACAAGCAGCACGCAGGAACGTTTCACTCAGTCCCTCTTTCCCTCAGCAGTGTGGCCTTGGTGGGTTCAGCATTGGCTCAGACACGATGCCTGCTATCCTGGGATCTGTGCTCAGTGGAGGGAGACAGGCGTTTATACGAGTAAACATGGTGTCACAAGGGATGTGGAATGTGCTCTGCTTGAGGGAGAAGCAGGGGGCCCAGAGGAGACCAAGTTGTTTCAGCCCCATGAGTGTGGTCAGGGAGGGCTTCCTGGAGGAGGTGTCTTAGAGCTGGTCTGAAAGGATGGCCAAGGCCTCGCTGCGCGGAGGGGGCTGTGGTGGGCGGAGGCAGCTGCGAGAACAGCTGTCGAAGGCAGGCGGGGTCCAGGCGCGCAGCTGGGCTGGCTTCAGAGTGGGTGCCGCAGGAGGTGAGCGGGAGACAGTGGGAGGCAGGCCGCCAAGACAGGTGGGTGAGGCCCGCTGAGGAGGCTGCAAGTGCCCGGAGGCAGGCAGAGCTGGGTGACGTGGCAGAGTGACGGCTGGGTCCCCCACCTCGAGACAAGAGAAGGCGGGTGCCGGGGTGGCCGGCAGTGGGGCCAGGCCGTAGAGGAGGGTCCGGGGGGCGGCCGAGAAGCGTCCTGGGCCTGCTTCACGCAGACCAGGGAGGGACCAGGGAGGGTGGTGGGTGCCTGTGAGGAGCCTCCCTGGGCCGAAGTGCTTTGGGGGAAGCAGGAAGCTGGAGCAGCAGGAGGGACGCGAGGATCCTGAGAGTAAACATCACTAACTCGTCTTAGAGCCCAGACGCAGGCACTCCTGAGGGTAGACGGCTTGTCCGAAGTCCACAGGCCTCGGCCTGGGAGAGGCTGGAGGGCAGAGGGTCCCTCGTTTCCTAGCCCACAGGGCCCACGGAGCCAAGCCCAGCCCAGCTGCCTGGATTGGCAGAAACATGCAACACGTGTGTGCATGCGGAGGGGGCTGGAAGGTGCGATTCCCATGTGTGGTCCTGCAGGGCGCAGGGTGGTTCCCGTTGCGCGTCCCTCCTTCCCCTCTGTGCCAGCCTCCCTGTCCAGGCTCACATACCAGTCCCCAAACACAGACCTACACTTCGCTTGTGTCTCCTCATGCCTTGCAGGCGACTCTTCTGGCAACACAACCCAGGCCCCCGGGTCTTCTCTGGACCCTGGCCTGGAGCAGTCCCCCACCCCAGCAGAAACTTGGGCTGCCTCCGTGCACGGTCCCAGCCCGGCCCTCCAGGGCCCGGCCCAGCGGCTGAACCTGACCGGAGCGGTCAGGGTGCTCTGCGAGATCGAGAAGGTGGCCATCGCCATCGACAGGCGCTTCCTGCAGCAGGAGTCCGTCCCCGAGTCCTCCCTGTACCTGGGACACCCGTCCTGCAACGTGAGTGACAGCAATGGCACACACGTGTTCCTGGTGGCCGGATGGAATGAGTGCGGCACCCTTGTGCAAAGCGTAAGTCCTGGGTGCAGGGGGCATCCAAGCTGTCCGGACCTCAGTATGGGAAGGGCCCGCAGCTGACCTTGGGACCAGGGAGCACTCTGCCCCCCGACGTCTCTGACTCTAAGTGAGGGACCCTGCAAAGGAGTCAGGATAGGGCCACGTTCTCCCTGGAGATTGGGCTACACCCTAGAACCGTGAGGGACTTAGAGCCCCACCCTGCTAGGATTCTGGTGCAAAGGGCCTGGGGCAGGTCTGAGAGTCAGGGTTCAAAGCATCCTCTCAGAGATGCTGCTGCACAGGCAGAACCAGTGGACCGAAAGGGCAGCAAAGCCACAGCCTGTGAGCGTCCGTGTGTGGGAGGCCACGTATGTGTGTAGGTGTGAGTGTGCATGTGTGTGTGTACGGTTGTGTGTGTGGCGTGTTGGTGGAGGTTGGGCCTGGGCAGAGCCTGTGACCCTCCCGCAGGCTGTTCCCAGGGGTGAGTCTGCCACCGTGGTGGGTGAGGGGGCATCAGCTCACTCCCTTTGCTTTTCGGAGCTAGACGAACACCTGGTCTAGCAATTATATTCACGTGGATTCAGGGCCTGGTCAGAGCAAAGGGAAATTTGTCTCTTATGAGTCCCTGGAATCCACACAAGTTCTTAATGTTCTTTGGCATTTGTCAAAAATTAATTTTGCCTTGATGACTTATTTGTACAAACACAGTGGATTACATACAGTTAGCAGGTTCCACCCCTCCCCCCCTTAGTTTGTTAAGCAGTTTAAATTTTATCAACCTCCAGGTTAGAAAAGAAGGGTCACATCTCTGATTATGATGGATGGGTCACGCAGATATGACTACGAAGAGACACAGATTCGCCCGTGCCCCAAAGTTGCACTGGAGTACAGAATCATTTCATAAATACACGAGCTGAGACACTTTGCAAAATGTTGCAAGGCACAGGTGTCCCCTCTGTGAAGACACGTTCCTGACCCGGGGTCTCTGCGAGGGCACATCAAAGCCCTGGCGTCGTGACAGATAAAACTAAGGAGCGGAATGGGAGTCGGCTGGAACCCATAGGCCTGTAAACATCACGCAGACAGTGACTCCGAAATGAAACGCAGGCTGTTGTTTTAAAGAAGCAAACACAAAAGACAGGCGAAGTTCAAGAGTGATGAACGGCTCCGCGGGGGGCGGGTCAGCGAACTCCCAAGTCTTTCCCAGAATAGAGCTTCTTTCCTAGTCACCGCTAAGGAGAGTGAATTCTAAACACGAGCGTTTTTCTATCATTCAACTTTCGCTATTTATATAAAAACCTAGACCAGCCCTGGTCAGTGTGGCTTGATGGTTAGAGCATCGGCCCCCATGAAGGGTCTTGGGTTCAATTCCCGGTCAAGGGCATGTAGCGACCTGGGTTGCAGGTTTGATCCCTGGCCCCTGGTCCAGTGTGTATGGGAGGCAACCAATCCATGTGTCTGTCTCACATCGATGTTTCTCTCTCTCTCTCTCTCTCTCTCTCTCTCTCTCTCTCTTCTCTCCCTTCCACTCTCTCTAAAATAATCAATGGAAAAAACTATCTTTGGATGAGGATTAACAAATAAAATACCTAGACCAACAATATCTAACAGCTTCCAAAGATAAGCTAATGGCTCTGAGGTAATCAACTTTACCAAAGTTTGTCCAGGTCTGTTTACTACACAAGAATTCATTCGTTATATAATTTTATACAAAGTAGCAAGTACAGAGCTGCAGAAGGAGATCAGACGCCTTCCCCAGCGGCTCCCACTTCAGACCCAGCCGAAGCGCCCTCCTCCGTGAGCCTTGCCCGGCACACGGCGCTTTGCTGTCACCCACTCGGGCTGGGGCCGGCCTGGCCCCTGGTCCCTGTCTATCAGTCACCGGTCAGCCTCAGAATGGTTTCCTTCAGCGAACGCGAGACAACAGCCTCGTGAGTGGATCCGACCTCTGCTGAGCCCACAGCCCGCTTGTCCCCCGAGTGGTCCAGCAGCGTGTCCTGTTCTTGGCGTGTGCTTTCAACTCGACTGAACTTCTGTCATCGGCTTCACCCCCCTCCTCCGCATCCCAGCTCTGCACTATGCTCCCTGGCCACACCGGGGCAGCCGGCGAGCTCAGAGCACAGGGTGCCCACTGCCAGCTGTCACCGCTGTGGTCGCTGCGGCAGGTGACCCAGCTGACCTCGGCGGGCCCTGTGCTCTGTTCTGGTGACAACATAGGGGGACGTCAGTAAAGGGACATTGGAGACTCCACCACCATGACAGACTCCAGGCCAGTTCCCAGCAAAGTGCTTCAAAGGAAGAGCTAGAACTTCGGACATTTTGTCAAACAGAAGACTTCGGTGTAATGACGGATTGTCACAGGACACTCTACCTCCCTTCCAACCCTTTCCACGGAGGCCATCTGTGAAAGGGCCCCGCTCAGGGCCTCCGTCCCTGGTCCTGCCTGCTACACAGCCTCCTGGGAAGGCCCCTCTTCTCGGCCTGGTCCCACTGTCCGAAATCTCTCCTTTCTGCTAAACGGCCACATTCCCAGCAACCAGACCTCACAGCGGCTGACCTGGGACATTTCTCTTTATGCTCGAACCCAATTTGCTCTGCACCTTTGTTCCCAGGCTTCGCTTCATCACCGTCAGCGTCCCGGAGACTCCAGCCCGCAGCAGTAGCTGGGCTGTTCCTTTTGCACCCACACCTGGTCAGGACGGCGCTCCCTTCCTGCAGGGTGCCCGCTGGGTCTCGGCTCATGTGACTCCCCAGACTGGAGGCTGGGAAGGGTGCTGGTTGGCTTAGCCACGAGCCTGACCAGCTCCACTCGGTTCCTCTGGGGAGGGCCTCGCGCTCTCATTTCCAGAAATGGACGGGGATCCTCCGGGGAGGAGCCTGGTCTGTTATTTTGGGGTACCCTCGTCTCTGGTTCTGCTCCAGGGAAGAAACTGGCCCTGGAAACCGGCTACCGCCGCCACCCCGACTTCCTCCTCTCTTTGACAGTCTGTGTTAGAAGAAAATCATTAGGGCTTTTCTATTTGGGGGAAATGCTTTCAAAAAGACCCCTCCCCAGACCCATCCTGGGGTGCTGCTGGGGCCTGGGTGCTCGCTCACGCCCATCTGGTTTGTGTTCAGAACATGACGAATACCGTGGTGACGACCACGCTGAGGAATGACCTGTCGCCAGAAGGCATCATCCACCACCTGAAGATCCTGAGCCCCATCCACTGCGCCTTCCAGAACGACCTCCTGACGTCCTCGGGCTACACCCCGGAGTGGGGGTGAGTGCAGAGCCCCTCCTGTCTCTCCCCCCGCTCACGCTCCTCTCCAGCACCCTTGCTGTGGGTGACTTTAGGGTTCCCGTCACTTGAGGGTCCGTCTGAGAGACGGTGATTAACAGGACTTGACTAACAATGTCCGGCTCCCTGAAATTTCATTCCCACTTCCAACTCAGGACCAACCAGGCGAAGCCATGTATGTTTCCTTAGTCCACCACAGAGGGCACCCCATTTCTGGCGAGCCCGCCCACAGCTTCCCCAGGAAGACGCCCCATCAGGGCACACCTGAGACCCCTTCCCCCCATGAGGCTGTGCCTCTCCTCTGCCTGCCTTAGCATCTCCACCAGTGCCAGGGGCGGGGACTGAGTCCCGCTGCAGCCAGTGGGGATTCAGTCTTTCTTTGCTTGTTCTTTCTTTCCGCACTCCTTCGGAGGTGCTGTTCAGGGAGGAATGGGGATGAGAGGGACGCCAGGAGGGAACCTCCGGGAATGCTCCCTCTTGCAGGGTCTACACCATCATTGAAGACCTCCACGGCGCTGGGAGTTTTATCACAGAGATGCAGTTATTTATTGGAGACTCTCCTATACCTGAGAATTATAGCGTGTCTGCCAGTGACGACATCAAGATCGAAGTGGGGCTCTATAAACAGAAAAGCAACCTCAAGGTGGTCCTGACCAAGTGCTGGGCAACACCATCCAGCAACGCCAAGGACCCAGTCATGTTCAGCTTCATCAACAACAGGTAGGGCTCCGGGGGGCCCTGCGCACTGCTGCCCCCTTGCGTCGGGCCCTCAGAACTTCCAGACCCTCTCTTCTCAGGACCTGGAGAGCTAGCCGTCCTTGCCTTCCACGGAGCCTGGTGGGGGTGCTCTATGTGCAGCCAGGTGCACTGTAACCTCTCACCTGGGCACAAGGACAGGAGGGCCAGTTTATAACTGACAAGTCACCTTTCCTCTCCTCCCAGCTGCCCCATCCCCAACACACATACCAACGTGATCGAGAACGGGGACTCCAACAAGGCCCAGTTTAAGCTGAAGATCTTCTCCTTCATCAACAACTCCATAGTCTATCTGCACTGCAAACTCCGCATCTGCATGGAGACCCCCGGGACCACGTGCAAAATCGTAGGTGCTGGACGTGCTCAGCTCCCGTCTGGGTGCTCACGCCTTCTTGTCATGAGGAGGGTTGCTGTGTCACCGAAAGCCCGGGGTGCGGGTGGCTCTGGCGCCTGACTTCTGGGAACAGGTGCTGGGCCCTGCAGATGTGGCCCCTGAAAGGTGGGAAATGAGATTTCAACAGGCGTTGGGTGAGGACTGCTGCAGCTGTGTGGTCCTTGCGGCCGTCCCCACTGCTGGCTGTCACACCGGCGCCGCCTTGTCATGGAGATGTTGTACTTCTCCGCGAGGTGTAAAAGTCTTCTTTTAATTTAATGTTATTTTAGCTACGCTGATGGCACCCTACTGAATCATAGCCACCGTGATATTTACCCAGTTGTTTTTCTTTCCCTGGTGCAGCAGTCCTGCTGGGATCATGAATAATTTTACATTCTCATTTCCTTTGACCTTTGAATTCCAAATCTGCTTCACAGCCCTGAGATCTGAAAGGCCCTTCGTGCTACCAGTGATGAGTGTGAGAAGTGACTGTCACGTGTTTTCCGTGGCCAAGGACAGTGTAGAGGGCTGTGCTGGCCGGTTCGGCCACTCTATGTCTCTCTGTCCTTCGGAGGATAAGCTTGTCCCTCTGCTTCTCACGAACCCCTGAGGTTTTCCTGGGTGATGCGCCTCCGCGCGTCAGTAGGTCACGGATGAGAGAAACCCAGCGACGGTCGTTTTGTTGATGTCACTTGTCAAACAGTAGGCCTCCTGGAACAACAGGAGGAAAGGGACACTGACTCCTAGTGACCGCCAGCTCAGGGCGCTGTGAGCCTGCACCCGGTCCCACAGGCCCAGCAGAAACGCGAAGAGCATTAATAGCCACAGTAACACTTCGCTTCTGCAGGGAGCCTCCAGTTCCCAAACTCTTTACCGTGGGAGCTCCACACATTCCTTTCCAGTTCCTCTGGGGTGGGCATTGCCTGGGTCTCCTGTGGCTGCCGAAACAGGACCACAGAAGGAGTCGGCTTAAACAATAGAAGCTTGTCCGTTGTCTGGAGGCCGGAAGTCCAAGGCCAGGGTGTTGGCAGGGTTGGTTCCTTCTGAGGCTGTGACGGAGGGTCTGTTCTGGGTCGAGCTCGTTGGCTTGTAGGTGCCCTTCTCCTTGGTCTTCGTAGGTTTCCCGCTGTGCGTGTCCGTGTCTGTGTTCAGATTTCCCCTTTGTATAAGACACAGTCACATTGGAGAGGACCCAGCCTAGTGAGCTCCTCTTTTTGTTGTTGTTGTTAATCCTCACTCAAGGATATTTTTCCATTGATTTTTTTTTTTTTTTGATAGCGTGGAAGGGAGAGAGGGAGGGAAGGAGAGAGAGAAACACCAAATGGTTGTCTCCGCACGGCCCTGACAAGGGCCGGGAATCAAACCTGCAACCCAGGTATGTGCCATTGACCTGCAATCAAACCCAGGACTCTTTGGTTCTCAGGACGTCTCTCTAACTGCTAAGCCAAACCAGCCAGGGCTAGCGAGCTCATCTTAACTTGAACCTCTACAGAGACCCTATCTCCAAACAAAGTCACATCACAAATACTGGGAGTTAGGGCTCCAACGTCTTTTGGGGGACCTATGCACCCATTGTGGGTGCGTGGAACGCAGATGCCATCACGGCACTGAACTTTCTGCAAGGCAAAGGCATTAAAAGGAGCAGGTGGCTGCAGCAGGCTGCAGGAAATGCAAAGGTGACCCTGAGGCTTTGCTGAGAAAAGAATCCCCCCAACACAAGGAGAAGGGAACCAGTGCTGGTATCTGGAGCCGCTCAGGGCTGCAGCCTCTGCTGCGCCTGCACACCTCACCGCCAGCCGGCCTCCCGCCACACTGGGCGGAGCCCGCGGTCCAGGCCTCCGCAGCCCTCCTCCTCCTGTCTGAGCTTATCCATCATGATTTCAGGTCTCCAGCAGTAAAAAAAAAAAATCTATGAGTCAGAGTATTATTCCAGAGAGTGGATACATTTTCTCATAAACATTGTTCAACTAATTTGAAGTTTCTCCCCTTTTAAAAAAACAAACAGAATTGCAATGACTTTCGGTCGCTGAGAAGCAGTGAACCATCCGAAACGCACCAGATGTCCTGGGGGCCACTCATTCGGGCTGACGGTGAGTCGATGGCTTGGTCTAGACAACTGTGGAAGATGTGACCAACTGCATGTCACCAGCATTAAACCAAAAAGCAGGTTCTTGGAACATGGAGCTCTTAAGATTTTCCCCAAAGGCCCAGAGAGTAGTAACAATGCCCGCTCACACTTACTTTATGTTCTTTTTTTTTCCCCCATTCATCTTCAGATAGAGCAGGAGGGAGAGAGAGAGAAACATCCACGTGAGAGAGACACATCGAGTGGTCGCCACCCACACGACCCCAACCGGGGCAGGGACAAACTGCAACTGAGGTATGTGTCCTTAGGGGGAACCAAACCCAGAACTCTCTGGTCCGCGGGCTGACGCTTTAACCACAGAGCCAAACCGGCCAGGGCCGTTATGTTCTTTACGTGCAGAATGTAGGTTGCTCCTCTCAGCAGTCCTGTGAGGTTGGACTTACGATCCCCACGTGGCAAACAAAAAGACCGAGACTTCAGGGAGTTAGTTGGCCCCTGTTTAAATAAGGCACATGGGAGCTGGATAGTGTGAGGCTGTCAAGTGTCCTGACCCTGGATAAATGCGTCCAGTGGATTGTTATGAGGAAGACACTCCGGCGGTAGGCAGGTCAAATTCTGTGTGTGTGTGTGTGTGCTTTCGCGCACACCTGTGTGAATGGGAAAGCTGTATTTTGGACTCGACTAAATCAGAAGATGCAAAACAAAAAGATGACACTGTCGTTCTCAGTATAAAACTTCCAGCCGCCAATGACATTCCCTGTATCTTTGAAACTCGCCATTCGTATTCTGGGAAAACGTTTTCTTTTCTTTGTGATCTAGCCTGTTTTTTAAGAAATGATTTGGAGAAATTTTGTGCTTCGAGTATTAAGACAGAACTTCTAGCTGTTACCCAGTATCTGTCCTGCTTTCCTGCCATAGTACTAGGACCCCCAGTTTTCAGCTGGGAATAAAAACTATAATTTTTAAAACGTATAACCAGCCAGGCAGCAGGTGTGGCCACGTGAGTAAGTGCCAGCCGGTGAGACGCAGATGGGAACGTCCAGAGGGACTTCCTGAGGGCTGTCCTCCTTCACAATGCCCCTGCCCTGCTTCACCGTCTTCCTGCTGCCTCCCATGCTGCTGCCTGGCCGCCCTCCTGGACCGTGAGGACCACGGGGACGGGAGCTGGAAGAGCCGGGCCCCCAGGAGACTGTGGCGCAAAGCTGCAGGCCAGGCCTGGGCTCTGACTCCACCATTTTTATGCAAGGAAGACATAAACTTCCACGTTTTTGTCTTCACTACTCTTTTGGGTTTTTCTCTTCTTTTGCAGCGACACCTCGTTCTACTGGATTTTTTTGTTGTTGTTTTTCTTTCTTGCTCACTTGGATGGCCCTCCTTCCTCTCGATGTTTTCCCTACAAGAACATCTGCGCTTTGGGTGCAGGGTCTGAGCCGGGCTGGGATGCTGATCAGGACCTGGGCAGGGAGGGCCTCTTGGCCAGGGACTCTCAGCTGCTCTCAGGGACTCTCAGCCAAAGCATTTGGGACACGTAAACTCTCACAGGTCCCAGGCCACGCCCTGGCCTGACCGTCCCTGGAGCTGGGCCCTGGGCCTGGCGTGTGCCCTGGTCCTCAGGGGACTGTAGGCCTGGTCCTAGGACAACTAGCTTTTTCTACCCTCCTCGTTTTCTTAAATCGCTGAGGAGAACTGGGGCCCTGATATGGAGCGAAACGTGGGTGGTTGCACTGCCGTGCCCAGGCGCACGCCTTCGGTTCATTCAGAGATGCCACAGACCGTGCAAGAACCAGAAAGCGGTGGGCTCGGCGTCGGAGACCCGAGTGTGAACATGGGCTCTCATACCACATGGTCTTGGGAAAACTACTGGATCTTCTGGATTCTACCCATCTGCTCATCCACCCATTTATCACCAACATATCCATCCATCCATCCATCCATCCGTCATTTCTTCATACACCGCTCATCCATCCAGCCACCTGTCCATCCACCCACCCACCCACTTACTCATCACTGTTTCGTCCACCTACTGCACGTCAGCTACTGTTTTTTCTTTAGAACGCGGGTGTGCCGCATTGTACCTCATTTTATCTCTTCATCCTTTGGTGGACACTTGGGTTGTTTCCACCTTTGGCTGGTGTGAACAGTGCCACTTTGAACATGGGTTTAAAAGTATTTATTTGAGTTCTTGCTGTCACTCTTTGGGGTCCACACCTGTTTTTATTGCCCCTCCCTGGAAGGGGAGCCTGTGCTCCTTCACACTGAGTGTGTGAGCCCCGAGTCTCCACGTGGGCCGTCCCGCTGAGCTGTCCACCTCCTCCCCGAGGGCCTGTTGCTCCCACGTGGCCTCCTCTGAGCCCCGCTTACCCGGAGCCCTGGGCAGGCTGCACTGTCCTGGCCGCTGGGTTCTCCGGCCTTGGGACACCTTGCTCATCACCTTCGGGAACCCATGGGCACAAGGGCACACAGCTCCCTGCCCCGGGGCTTCAGATGGATCACATTCAGATGACAATGCCACAGAGCAGCCCACGGGCGGGGAGCTCGCTCCTGCAGGCTCGGTGCTCCCTCGTCACAACAGCGGCTCGGGCTGGGGCCACGGGGACCAGCCCACCGATGCTCCCCCCGTGCCTGTCTCGTCCCTGCAGGAGAGTCTCCGGATGTGAAGCCAGGCCTGGGCCCCGGCCACCTCGCCCTCATCGTGGGCGCCGTGGTGGCCGCGGTGGCCGGGGCAGCTGCCCTGCTCATTGTGCGCTACCAGAGAATGACGGGGAAGCACAGCTTCACAGCCCAGCCGGACGGCTTCAGCTACCAGATGTTCCGGGACTAGGAGGCCCCGCTGCCCCAGGTGGGTGAGCGGCGAGGGGCACACATGGCCGGCCCACGTGTCCTGCCTTTGCCCCCAACGGAGGCCGTGGAGTGTGCCCCAGTGGCTTCGGCCAAAGGTCGATTTGTGGGTGTCAGCATTTTGTGCCTGTGATTTATACTGAGAACTATATGTTGGTCTTTGTTCACTGTCCCTGGTTTTAGAGGTCCTAAAGCCCTTGGATTTCCTTAGTGATGGGAGCAGACAGGTGTCTTCTACAATGTTATGAGGTGACTTTTGGGAAGCACCCGAGGGTGGGGCTGGTTGCCAGGAGAACCAGCCAGGTGATTGGAGGGCTGGACATTTCACCCCCTGATCTCTGGAGGTGTTGAATCAGTCACCAGCGGCTGATGATTTAATCAGACAAGCTCATGTAATGAAGCCTCCATAAAAAACCAAAATGATGGGGTTCTGGGAGCAATTACCTAAGATGTCCCCAATTCTAAGGTGGGGCACCAGGCACCCAACAGTGGCTGAAGCGGCTGCTGCCGTCAGGAGGAAAGAGCTTTCCTGGGATCCCCGAAGCCTCCTTCTAGTTGGGGTCCTCCGCCACCCCAGGGAGTCCCACATAGGGGAGCGAACAGCAGCGACACCTCGACACCCGACTCACGGGAAACAGCCTGCCGCAGTGTGGCGCCTTGGTCTCTGGTCTGGGCCACGAGGTGCGGGTCATGAAGACCCTGGTCCCTCTTGTCCTGTCAGGGGCACTGTCCCAGCGACGCGGCCCACAGTGGCTGACCACTGCTCTCCGTTCCTCGCGGGGCCAGCAGCTTCCAAGCCAAGGCCTCCTTCCCTGTATCTGGCTCCGTAGTCTCTTGAGGTAACAGGTCTTCAAAACAGCTCAGCAAAGGGTGATAGACACACTTCCTTGAAATGAGGAAATGGGTCCCAGAGAGCTGGGTGACTGCCCCAAGGGCACACAGCCCTGGCGGGTCCCAGCACACTTCCCCAGGCACCGTCCCTGCTGGGGGAGCTGTTCAAGGAGCTGGTTCTGCAGATGCCGGAGAGTCATGCCTTGGCTCATCCTGCCCCCTCTGCTCTGAGGGTGCCCGACAGCTTGTGCCCGTGATCCAGGGTCTCGAGCCCTTACAGCCCAGATGGATGGGAGGGCTAGACCAGGGCCAGCACCCGAGGCCGGTTGCTTCACTGGAGGGACTCACAAAAGAATTTCCGTGGATTTTGCTTAATGTATAATGTGAATTCCAACAACGAGGTCACACTTGTCCTCCTAAATGTCTAAGGCAACCAGGTGTGTGGGTGTCGAGGCCACGAGGGTGTCCCCCTCCTTGAAATGAAAACACCAGAGGGAAAATTGGCCTCTCTTCTTCTTTGTTCTCCGGAGGCTTCGGTCTTCCAAAGGGAAAGCCATCCATAGATAATTTTCAGGTTCCTGCAAACATCTGCTCTCCCGAAAGTTAAACAATCACCCCCCACACACCAGGTTGGTGCTCGGTGCAGGAGCCCTCTGAGCACGGGGGTCCTCCCCAGATTACACAAAGACACAAAGACCCGAGGATGTGGTGGTCCAGCTCAGGGGTGCGGGCAGGCACACCTGCCGCTGACACGGGGAGCTCGCTCCCGGAGGCCAGGCCACACCTCTGGGCCGCTGGGAGTCGCTGCCTCCTGCTTGAGCACCACCCTCACTATCCCGCCAGCACAGAAGTCCTACCCAGGGGTTTCCTGCATAAACCCCTCCGCTCCTAGTGCAAACTGACCCCGGTGACCTCCTTTCCTGTGCAGGTAGCCGCGAATTCAGCTCGGTTCCTAATTCATCAAGCGTTGAAGGAGGCCTGCTCTGCCCACATCCAGAGCTTGGATGAGCTGAGATGATGAAAGCGTGACCTCGGCCTGCCCCCAGGAGGCTGTCCACTATGTAGGTTCTAGACAAGCAGGCAGGGGAGGGGAGCTGTTGGAGGAGTGGGCGGGTGGGGGTGCCTGGAGCTCCAGACACAGGGGTCTTCAAACCAGGCAGGACCCAGCTCTGCCATCACCCAAATCACCTCCAGACCCCAGAGCTCCCAGACCCTTCACCATCCATTTTGGTCCAAGTGGCCCTTCCTGGTTTTGCTCACCATTGACATCCATCAGTTTATCTACTCGTCCATCCATCTATCCAAACCATCTTTCCATTCATCCATCAATCTTCCATCCATCTGTCCGTCCATCCACCCATCTATCCACCCAACCACTGGGCACTCTCTATCAAATACATAATGTTCCTAATTTTCAGAGATATTTGACAGTGCACTTGAAGTTCTTTTAACAGTAGGTCAGTAATAAATATATTGTTGCTGTTATGTTTAGTAGACATATGTGCTCCTAATCTTTCTCCTGCATTACCAGGATATTATTTATATTTACACAGCGGTGACGCAAAAGGCATTCTATTAACATGAAAATCTTTATAATAAGTAGAAACACCATAATATATATCACTATTTTATATTTTTCCAAACATTTTCTCAGCCATTTAAAATATAATCCTACCACGGGGGGGGGGGGGGGGTACCATTTACCCATCACACAACTGGAAATTAGAGAAGAAATGGATGAGTTATTTACTTAAAGTCACAAAATGAATGAATGGGGAAATGGGTCTAGAACCTAAATAGTTTACTTTAGAATTTTCTTCTTTATACCATGCTAACCGATAATGCTTTTTACTTTATTTAAGACAAATTGAACTGTATTTGATAGTTAACGCCTGAAAGTATAGTGTTTATCCTTGATGGACTTAAAATTATAACATGATCTTTAGTTTTTAACTCATGAGAGTAATCTTGCTGAATATGATTGACTACCACTGATGCAAACATCTGGGGGAAGTCAGTTTCCTGATGTACTGGATATTCTCAGAGTCCGTAGGGAATCACGATATTGTGGATAACCGGCTTGAACAAGTAGAATAAAGTGCACATGACATCAACTGAGCGGCTGCTGTGTTTGGTTCAGATGCTCAGCTAGCACCCGCCGAGGCCGGCGCCGTGCGGGGCAGGCGGGGGGCCGGGAACCTGTCTCTGGCTCTTCTTGAGCTGCGTCCACCGCTCTGACACCGGACCTACGGCAGACCGTTGTTGGAGAAGAGACAGTAAGCATGCAATAACCCAGACTTTGAGCCCCATGGCTCTGTGGCTTTCGCATTTCAGAGCTAACGTGCATTTTAAAACTCCATCTCCAGTTTTTATGCCAACCCAAGAAATATGCTACATGTGTTTATATGTGCTTTCCATAATAATGGAGCTTTGGTCTCCTCTCTCCTTCCCTCCCCTGCCCCAGGCTCTTCTTTGACAAATATTTCCTGAGCACACACCCTGCTCCAGGTCTTGGGCTCAGAGGTCCGGACGGAATTGTGAGAGAGCAGACTGAGCCCTGCTCCCATCAAGCACACGGTCCTGTTGGGGGGAGAGGCACTCGAATCAATAGATGATGGCAGACAGGACGGGTGCTGAGAGGGACAAATGCACGTGTGCTGTGCGGTCCCCCTGACCTGGCCCATCCATCCACTCACCGCACCATTCACCATTCTCCTTCCACCCACGCACCCATCCACTCAGCCATCCATCTATCCATCCACTCAGCCATCCATCTATCCATCCACTCAGCCATCCATCTACCCATCCACTCAGCCATCCATCTACCCATCCACTCAGCCACCCATCTATCCACCCACTCAGCCACCCATCTACCCATCCACTCAGCCACCCATCTACCCATCCACTTAGCCACCCATCCATCCATCCACTCAGCCATCCATCTATCCATCCACTCAGCCATCCATCTACCCATCCACTCAGCCATCCATCTACCCATCCACTCAGCCACCCATCTATCCACCCACTCAGCCACCCATCTACCCATCCACTCAGCCACCCATCTACCCATCCACTTAGCCACCCATCCATCCATCCACTCAGCCATCCATCTATCCATCCACTCAGCCATCCATCCATCCATCCATCCATCCATCCATCCATCCATCCATCCATCCACTCAGCCATCCATCCATCCATCCACTCAGCCATCCATCTACCCATCCACTCAGCCACCCATCTATCCATCCACTCAGCCATCCATCTACCCATCCACTCAGCCATCCATCTATCCATCCACTCAGCCATCCATCCATCCATCCATCCATCCATCCATCCATCCATCCACTCAGCCATCCATCTACCCATCCACTCAGCCATCCATCTATCCATCCACTCATCCATCCATCCATCCATCCATCCATCCATCCATCCATCCACTCAGCCATCCATCCATCCATCCACTCAGCCATCCATCTACCCATCCACTCAGCCACCCATCTATCCATCCACTCAGCCACCCATCCATCCATCCACTCAGCCATCCATCTATCCATCCACTCAGCCATCCATCTACCCATCCACTCAGCCATCCATCCATCCATCCATCCATCCATCCATCCATCCATCCATCCACTCAGCCATCCATCCATCCATCCACTCAGCCATCCATCTACCCATCCACTCAGCCACCCATCTACCCATCCACTCAGCCACCCATTTATCCATCCACTCAGCCATCCATCTACCCATCCACTCAGCCATCCATCTACCCATCCACTCAGCCATCCATCTATCCATCCACTCAGCCATCCATCCATCCATCCATCCATCCATCCATCCATCCATCCATCCATCCACTCAGCCATCCATCCATCCATCCACTCAGCCATCCATCTACCCATCCACTCAGCCACCCATCTATCCATCCACTCAGCCACCCATCCATCCATCCACTCAGCCATCCATCTATCCATCCACTCAGCCACCCATCCATCCATCCATCCACTCAGCCATCCATCCATCCATCCACTCAGCCATCCATCTACCCATCCACTCAGCCACCCATCTACCCATCCACTCAGCCACCCATTTATCCATCCACTCAGCCATCCATCTACCCATCCACTCAGCCATCCATCTACCCATCCACTC